TGTTTTGACAGGCCGAGTAGGAAATTTGTTAAATTATCAACTCTGCTAAAGAACTCACTAGCAGCATTTCGCGATATTGGCCCTAGGAAATAAATTATTTTTATATTAATTTATAAAAATCGTCTGTCACATCGTCACTGTAATGTGTCGCGCAAGATTCATCGGCTTCTGCATCAGGAAAGGAGTCACACCACAACAAGTAAGTGCTCCGTGCGGCAATGTGAGGCCCGTCATGAGGACACCAAAAACGAATCTGTAAGATCCTTCGTTCTGAATTATGGCGCCAAGTTCGCATGTTCAATGACTGGTTGCGCGTCGTGTGTTATTTACAAGACCCCCCCATGGCTCGCAGTAAGAAAGTTGTAACAGATAAAAGGCTTCTCAGCCCGGTTGACAGATGCGCTCGTGTTTGTTTCTCTCTCTTGTGTCCGTCTTTTTTTGCGCAAAACCATGTATCAAAACTTGTTTCGTAGTTGGGTGAGATTTTTGTTGCGCAGTTGAGTGCAACAACCACCGGGCAGCACGTGCGAGCCCCCAAGACATGACGTTCCACACTTTTCCGCGAGACGTGCAGTGTCGAGCGAAGTGGATCGTCGCCGTGCGTAGGGACTAGGTTCCCGTCAAGATCGAGATCCCGCTTATGCAGCAATCATCTCACAGGAGAGAGCTACGAGCTGAGCTCTAAGCAGACAGAAGGCTCGTAAGCTGAGGTGTGATGCTGTGCCAACGATAGTAAACTACGTTCATCCACTCCTCGCCCAAATCGGATCAATCAATTTGATTATGTAGCGAAACCGAAACCAACAGCTAGGCCATCTGGAAACGATACCACGCGTGCAGCCCGATTCTGTTTTACCCGCGTGTGAAAATGGAGCGTGACTACGATTCACCAAGCTCGTCCAAGTCAAGTGACGACATGCATTTGAACGATTCGCCGTTTGTCTTCGCCCCGTGGACATCGCCTCTGAGGGAACGACCCGCAGCCTCATCACCGATCCAGTGGATCCACTGACATGTGTGCCCAGATGCCGCTTCAGAGGCGAAATCTGCATCCTTTGTTTTGCAAGCGCCCCTAGCTCGATCGGTTGCCGTCGCAGTTCTGTTTGCTCGAAACGGCATACGTTTGCTCGAAGCCTATGGCTGTCTGCGAGTAATTTCCTGCTAAAAGGCGTGAACTTTTTTGCACATGCTTGAGAACTGCATTAAAAGAACGGTATTTAAGTAGGGCACAGTCGACCCAGTCGACAAACGCTTGTTATCCCGACCATCCGACGAACCTTTGCGTTTTGTGACGTCACGCAGCACCTGCGGATGTCAGCCATTGACACTGGCGAAATTCGGGGTGCAGTTTCGTACATAGGCTCATGAAAGCCATGAAAGGTTTAATAAATAACGGGAGATCAAATATCAAAATAAAAATGACGTTTTTCTACATGAAGGCTCCCTCAACGTAACGAGCGCAAGAACTTAAGTACTTCCGGTTTGGACGGGGCATTCCCTTTAATAAGTATCCAAGCATGCAAAGGCATAGAGACGCAGCACTTCGGCGTGCCAAGGAAGCTTTGATCCATAGAGTTCGCTTTGATCACGCCGCGAACCAGCGAGATTTGTGTGTGACGAGTTGCGCTTTTTCCTGTGGTGCTGCGCTTTCATAAAAATTGCCACATGTTCTCAAAGAAAATCGTCAACGTTTACACCAGGTTTTAAAAAACTTCGTCGGCGAATGATGACGGACGAGCAGAAAATGTGTGCTCAGAACGCTATCGCCAGCCTCACTGCGCTCCAAGAGGTCGATTTTCTGTATGGCACGATGGCCATCCGGTGGCCGCACAGCACTGCGCTGCAGCGACGAAGCGGGGATGCGCAATCCTGCAGAGATCATTGGTGTGAACAGTGGCATCACAAGGGGAGTGCGCGGGGGGGGGGGGGGGGGGGGGGGGGGGGGGGGGGAGGGGGGGGTGGTGGGGTGGTGGATTGCCTCGGGTGCAGCGCTCCGGGGGGTGTCGCGACGGGCCGGTCGGGGGGCGTGGAGGGGGGGGGGGGGGGGGGGGGGGGGTCGCCGCGGGCCACCGCCCCGGGTGCCGCTGACCCTAGTGACGCCACTGGGTGTGAACAATACCACCTAGAACACAAGGCCTGCGCGTTTCCTCCTCTAAACGTCATCACTAGTAGATCCCCTCAGCGCCCCCTAGGTAGCCCGGATGAGCTCCATCGTCTGCTACATCGTGTGCTCCATCGCCTGCAGCATCGCCTGCTTCAGTGGTCGTGCTCAGAACGAGCTTACATTGCTAAGATCGGCAATCTTGATGGTGTCGCATGCACGTTGCAAATGATCTGTGGTAGCTCGTTATTAGCTCGCACTAAGCAGTCTCGCACGCAGCTGTGGCCGCCAGTTATTGCGGCGTAATTCCTCCGAAAACCCACGGGAGCGGCGGCGAACGCCGATGAAGGACTCGGAGTCTACGTAAGCAGACGCTTTGCGAGCCCCGTTTCGTCACCCCAACAGCTGAAACAATTCATTACGGTCAGTCCGCTTGCGAAGCGGAATCCACTGATCGCAACTGCAACGACAGTCAAATAACAACGAACGCATAAACGAAGATAGAGCAGTCTATTTAGCGGTCTCAAACGCCACTCAGGGGATCACACGAGTTTGGAGCGCATCTGGGAAGCGGAAGAAAGGCGTTTAGCTGCTCGAACTACGTCGTAAGAGGTTACTGTTGATCCGTTAGAGACTGCGTTGTCGCAGTTTCTTACCTGAATAGGTGATCATTAAAACGTGCGTAAACAACATGTTAAGATTACCAGAGCAAGCGCACCAGCCGCTGCAGCACAAAAACAAGAAGTAACGAGAAAAATGACCGTGCGAACACTTTCCGAACTTTGCAGGAAAGATGGGGTCCCCTTCTCAGACGAAAATAAAGAGAAATGGGGAACAGGTAGCGAACAACGACGAATAAAACAAAACTTTCGCAGACGATAGAAAGATACAAATCACCCAGCCAAGAACTCCTTTACCGACGACGATCATTGCGGCACACAGGGGAAAAAAAGAAAAAGAAAGCAGCAGCATTAAAAAAGGAGCTTCTCTTTTCTTTTTGTTGTTTGTTTTAGCTTAATTTTAATGTTACAGCAACTTAATTACTCACGTTTGTTCGGTCTTCGGGGGGAAGCGGAAGAAGGATTTTCTGACACATCGCAAAAACTTGTGTTTGCAGTGGTAGGCAGCACATGACATGCCTGCCATCTCCAAGTATGCGCTGGTGTATGCCGAAGGCGGCCGGTTGGGGAGGCACTCACTTGATCGAATGACGTTTTAGCGAACGCCCACGTTTCATCGAACGACACTTTAGCGAATAGTCGGACGCCGCGAATAGTCGGACGCCGCGAAGCGGCGTTTTCGGGTGGGCCAAGTGAGTTCATATTTTTGTAATGAGTTGCCGCAGACTGTCGCCGCGAAGCGGCGTAAAGCGCAGCGCGACGGATGGGTTAACGCGCGCCCCCGTTATTCACTAAAACGACTATTCGCTCAAATGTCGCCGTTCGCTAAAATGTCATTCGCTCTTGTGATATGGACCCGGATCTTGCAGATTTTAATATATTTAATAAATACCAAAAAGCACATATGAAGATTTCGAATTAGAAACTCGATCGGAAGATCAGTGATCGGAGGCGAAAAGAGGAGGTTATCGCAGACGACAGTGGAAGAAAACAGCAACAACAACAAAGTTGCAGACGGCTCTCAAAATGTCCGGGCACAGCGTAGCAGACGGACGAACTGAAGGAAACAGAGCAAAAACTGATCCAAACAAGGCAAAACAAAATACGCAATGGTTCGAACGTTAAGTAAACAAAAATAAAATAAAGAAAAAAAAAAACACATAAGAGCAGGAGGAAGAAAGAGCGGGACGTCGTAGCGTCCCCTCAAAAATAAAAAGAAAGTAGACTTGGAAAAATGGAAAGAGTTGCTGACGGTCTAAAGGGTGCCGGCTTTTATCGTAGAAGGCGACGAATACGTTAGTCGTCCGGGCGCTAACAATCGGAATTTGTGCACCGTATATAACGTGACCGAATCACCTTTCTTTTTTTTCTATCTCTTTTTTTTTTCGCTACGACGCTTTCCTTGTTTTTTTTTTTTTTTTTTCTTTTGGACGCGCGAAAAGGCTGCTTTGCTTGTAACTCCGCTTTTATTAGTTTCACTTTTACTATTAGCGTCAGATTTGCATGTGCACAATCGAATTCTTCCAGAGCATACTGACATCGCAATAACGTGCGTGGTTCGAAACTGCCTTTTGCTTCTTCATCCTATTCGCCTATTCATGAGAAATGGGAACTGCAACAACAAAACAAATTGATTGATAAGAACAGTAAAGCTGAAACGTAGCTACGTTCTAAAATGTTTGTGCGTTGCCCTTTTTTCAAAAGACAGTGTGAAGGTACATACATTCATGTTTTGTTGTAACAGAGTGTTTTCTTCAGGAGAGTCCCAAAATTGCAACATGAAAACTCTAACATCTTTCCCAAGCGAAGAAAATGTCCTTCACTTATGAGGAGGCACTTATTTTTTAACATTCAAAGGAACGAATACCCGTGACAATTCTTTTTCATTGGTCACCGCGCACGGAAATGGGCAAAACCAATGCGTAGCCGAGAATTCGTCTGCTAGCGGAGGCTCCGAGCTCGCGCTGCGATCACTTTTCGCCCGCGCTCCGCGGGGCCGTAGGGGTAAGGTGTTCAGCCGATCCCGCGCCGGGAGAAAATCGCGTGACCTGCCGGTTGGAAAGAGGGACACAGGGAGCTCAAGGTCACATGACACTCTCCCCACGCTGGATTGGCTGGGATTAGCGTCCGCTGCGCTCGGACTGAAGGTGAAAAGTAGGGGCCCCTATTCTCGTCAAGCTTCGGGTGTTTGTGACCGGTAGCTTGGGCAGGTGGCGCAAGCTACCGGCCAATATAAAAATAGAGCCACTCTCACTTATCTATCCATTTCAAAGCCGAATCCAATTCAAAGGAATATATTTGTTCAATCCAAGCCATAGCCCTCGTTTTCGGCGATTGCCTTCTTTCGCTGCTTCCGTTGAGTTTCTTCAATCGCCGTGTCATTCAGCGTATCATGAACAAGTTCTGACTGCTTGAAGAATGACGAATGGTCAGTACACCAGATTACAGCACGCCGTACGATACTTAGAAAACAACAAGTGTGGCACATCAGCGTAATGCCACACTGAAGTGCTACGTAGTACGATCTAACTCCGTTACAGTACTACCCGTTGAACCAACGTCGTTGTAAAGAAAAAGATACCGACGTCTCTAGCCAAATGACAGAATTGAATAAGCAAACGTCTCGCCCACATCTACGCTCCTTATGTTCTTGTTTCATCTGGTATTTGCAGCGTACACATTTGATGGCCTGCTCGTTTTCGGACTCCTGCTGATTTGCACCTGCGCTTACATGCGTAGGGTGCCCCGATTGAAACAATGGTTCCTCTCCGAAAAGAAGGGCTTCTTCGGCGTCTTCTATAAAGGTGAGTTGCGCTCGGGTCTTAAACCTGTTGTGGTCACGTAAACGTTACCTCGGCTGTCTGGACTGAATCCCGGACAAGAGCTCACCGGACAAAAGCTCACCCTCTTTTTCACAGACCTCGACAAAAGCTCACCAGGAGAAAACATTATGTTGGTCTTAACACGAGTGTTGACAACTTAAATGCACGCGTGCGACACTAAATAAAATGCAACGATAAATTAAATCTGACAGGCACATGGTTTGTTGATTAGGGTAAAAGCAAGTTCATTTATCGATTGATTAGAAGTGAATGCAGTCCCCTGCTAGATCCAGCAGTCTGGGTAGATCTCGGTGTACCTGGAACCCCTCACAAATATTTTTCAGACTATTCTGCAGGCGCAGAGTGATTTTTTGCACCCGCTTCAGTGGGGGCTCTCCTCTCCGGGCTTGTGTCAATGCCGTGGCAACGAACGCCTGATTTTTCAGTAGGCATTCAATCGGCCTCTAAATGCTTAGATGGGCATGGCCGACTAGCTTCTGGAGCCCAGTATTCCATCCTTCACAGGTGTTTGTCTGGTCTTTATCTCGAAGAGTGGCGTTGTACATATTCCACCTTTCCAGGGGAAACTCTGGTCGTCGTCGGCCCACTGTTGGGCAAAGGGAAGAATTCGCTCTGGGTGCCGCCGCTGAAGGAGCAGAAGCCTAACGGAAGGGGCCATTGACGTACGTGCAATCAAAGTAACCCAGCAGGTCGCCGATTTCAATGGTAGACTTTTGTCTGATGTAGGTTAGTCCTTAGGGCACAAGCTGTAGTGGAAGGAGAACGCCAGCCTATTCGAAATCCCTCTCATCTTTCTAAATTGGTCAGCTGTCTTGTACATGTCCAAAAGGTCCCAAATCCCGTTCCTTCACAATATTTTTAAAAATTTGCAACTGAATGATTTGTATATTACAGTTTTGCGTCAGTTTCCCTTCCACATTACCTCGAGAGAATCCTTCATTTCAAGTACATTTCCGACACACAATGACGGAAACACTTAATTTTTTTAGCCATTCACTTTAAATATTACCCTAAACCCCAAGAAAACCCATGCATTAGTAATGTAGAGACATTGTGCCTAACCTTTATGTGCACGTTTAGCGTGACATGACCACATTGAAAAAGAGAGGTCATTAAAGGGTGACTTCGCTCCTTCAGTCACTCTTTGGGTTCAAAAACTTTGGTTCACTAAGTTTCTTGGGCGTGGCACAAGGGTGTTCTGGCATACCTTGAGTCAAGCAAGCTTGATCTTATCAGCTCCACTCAGTTTCAGTGACCTAAATTTTGGTCCCAAATCGTTGCTTTTCTGCCTGTTATGGCTTGTTTGTCGACACACTTGCATGGGATGGGGTACCAGTTCTCCTAAAAATGGTGCAATGTCCATTGTGTCCGCACTTTATACCAGCCCGTGTTTCACCGGGATAGCAAATCAAATAAGGTGAGCTTTTGTCCATGTCTGTGATAAGATTGGTGAGCTTTTGTCCAGTTACCGTCTGGACCGTGTGTTCCCTCTAACCTTAGACCTGCGCGCCCTTATCGCGTACTACGCTTTGGATCAGTAGGGTTAAACGTCATGACAGACTACTCTTGAGATTGTAATATTTAGCGAGTTCCAGTTTGAAGCTATGCAAAGTATGTTACGTGTTCAAGGATATACCGTACTACGTGTGGGGAGAGAAGGGACAATGCGACGCGAATCGTTACACTTTTTGTCTTATCACTTCTGCCCCTTTTTCCCAGGGTTAAAATGTCCACTTTATGTGCCCTGTCTAGATAATTTATCCCTGCAAAGGTTTTTAGTTTTTTTCAATATCTGGGCATTTACGTTAGACATTTACATGTATACATTTTAAAAAATAACAGAAGTGATGTATTGGCATCTGATTGGTCAAGGAATTGCCTCCACCAATCGGACGCCTATATCTAATCATTCCTATTAAACTCACTTTCTGCTTTGCACTTTATCTCTTTGGGTATAAAGTTTCTAGAGTGATGGTAACCTGTACTGGGGGGCTGCTGTAAGCCGGAGCTGATGGGTTGATGCCAATATTTCATATATGCTTGTTTGCATGCTGATAGTTTCACACTTTCAGTGCTTTTATGTCAGCTTAGATGTAACACGCATCATCTTGTCTATCCTCCACTACCAGCATCCGTCATAGGCACTCGTCTCCACCTCCTAGTCTCCCTGACGTGCGTCGCGGCAGGATTCTACCTTCTTTTTGTCAAGTGAAGCGACGAGCCAAAGATGCTGCTGTTCTGCCCGACGTGCGCCAACATCCTCATTGTGGAACAAGGCTTGGAGTGCTTCCGTTTCGCCTGCAACACATGCCCCTACGTGCACAACATCAAGGCGAAGATGTCGAATCGGAAGTACCCGCGGCTCAAGGACGTGGACGACGTGCTCGGCGGTGCAGCCGCTTGGGAGAATGTTGACTCGACCGAAGAGAAGTGCCCCAAGTGTGGCCATGAGCGGGCCTATTTTATGCAGATCCAGACTAGGTCGGCCGACGAGCCCATGACCACCTTCTACAAGTGCTGCAACCAGCTCTGTGGCCACCAGTGGAGGGAGTGACAGATGGCGGCTTTGACGAACTCATGCCCGTGCAAATTGCGTCGGGGGGAGAGAGTTTTGGAATAAAACATGCGCCTTACTTTCCCCCGTTCGCTCTCTGTGATGGGCCACCGGCACATTATCGTGTGTGGCGTGCATGTCCAGACCTTGGGTGTCCCGTATCTGTCTCATGTCCAAACCGGCATCCGCACGATATGTGTGAGAATGTGGTATTTCCAAATATCTACTATGGTTTGTGTTTGCACGTCATTTTGTGGAGCTTAAAACACCGGGGAGCTTCGGAAGAAAATTTAAATGGCACGTTGAAGTTCCTCTTGGATGTAACTTTTTACTGGTTGCAGCGTTACGTTTCAGTTTAGTCTGTGTCACGAACTCGAAATGAAAATCTGTTATTTTCTGTGTGTTTCTTTTTTATCATGCGTTTGTGATTTCTTGTGCTAACGAACAGACTGTCTTTTTTCTTCCGCTTGTAAATGGCACAGGACTTCTGTTTTTGCAGCTTTGTGCCCCGACCGTGGGTTGTGGTTAGTTTTGCCAAACTTGCTTATAGGCTTTTTCGGTAACCTACCACTTTCGGAAGAGCTGGAGATTTGGTTCGTGGATTGCTCGATGAGAGACTCAAGAAAACAAAGGGCATTGTTGGAGGGGGGAGAGGAGGAGCTTCTTTGTAAAACTACGGGGCCAAAAGATAAGCCACAATGAAAACAAAAGCAGTGTTTCGAGAGCTCAGTCTAGGTCATTGTAATTCGATGGAACCAACGGGATCTAGCTTCGACACTCGAAGGAACATTTGTGATTGCTTGTACCACACCCAAGTGGTGTTTGGGATGGCGCCATTTTTCGGAGGTATAAGCAGTAGTGGTTACCGATTAATTTGTGCTAAACTTAGCAGAAAAATTTCCCCCCTAAATTTAGCAGAAAAATTTCCTCGCTAAATTTAGTGGAAGAAATTCCCCGCTAAATTTAGCGGAAAAAGTTTTCCACTAATTTTAGTAGAAACATTTCCTTGCTATATTTAGTGGTAAAAATTTCCCCGATAAATTTTGCGGAAACATTTTCCTGCTAAATTGAGCAAAACAAACTCCCCGCTAGGGAAAATTTTTAGCTAAATTTAGAAGGAAAATTTCACCGCTATATTTAGCGAAAACATTCCCTCCCTAAATTTAGCGTAAAAAATTTTCACTGTAAACTTAAGGCCCACTCACACTCTTGCAACTGAGTGCGACCAAGAGAGACGAGACCTGTTCAAACCTCTTAGAATTTCCTAGGACGAGAGAACACACTGGCACTCTGGTGCCATCTATGTGGTGACCCTGGAACTGCATTTCACAAGAGTGAAGGTTTTGCGGGACTTCCGAGGTCAAATGTGCGTAAGACTTATAAGAAAGGGTCGTTTATAATGTTGACAAAAATGTTTTGAGACAAAATAGAAAGGATATTGCACGAGAGAAATAGAAAATATGCCGAACCGGCAAGTTTAAACGGCTACCCAATAGATGGCGCCAGTGTGTCCTCTCGTAAGAGATTAAGAGGTTCCAAGGTACCCGGTTCTAAAGGCCCGTTCACACTCTTGCAACTGAGTATGACCGAGAGGGACAAGACTTTTTAAAGCCTCTTAAAATTTCTTAGGACGAGAGAACACCCTGGCACGCTGGCGCCATTTATATGGTGAGTCTGAAACTGCATTTCACAAGAGCGAAGGTTTTGCGGCATTTCCGAGGTCAAATGTGCGTAACACCTATCAGAAAGGCTCGTTTATAACGTTGACAAAAGTTTTTCGAGCCAAGAAAGAAAGGATAATGCGGGAGAGAAAAAATAATGCCGGACTGCCAAGTTTACACTGCAACCCAATACACCGTTCCAAGTAGGTCGATGCAGAAAGAGAAAAACACTCTCGAACCAGAGCGGTGCACCAACGCTCTGCTTACCCTTTCCCTCGAAAGCTCGTCTGCTTCACGGAGTGGACTGTTAGAAAGCATGTGCGCAGTGTACGGAGGTAAGTTGTTTCGACAAAGTTGGGCACCGCTTTGATATTATGGCGTGTTTTCGCGTGTGACATGGCCTATGCAAGAAAAGAATCGACTGGGCAGCACAGTGCTGTAATTGGTTGTACAAATAACAAAAAAAAAACGTAAAATAAACGCCGGTTCAGTGTGCGAGACCCACGCTGTCGAACAGGATGAATATGGGTGCGGCATGTTTATGCTGCTCCGCTGCTCCGGACCTACGACGCCGGTGGCTGGCGAATTTAAACAGGAAAGACTTCTTGCCATCGAAGAGCAGTCATATGTGTGCTCCGACCATTTCTTGGACGGCCGGCAAGCTGCGGAGAACCCCGTGCCGTTCCTTCGCCTGGGCTACGACCGAAAGTTAAGCGGAGGGCGGCTTAGACATTGAAAAAAGAAAACAGTTGCGTGACTCCTGGTCTACTGATTTATTAGTACACGCCGCAACACAGTTTGCGCTCAAATAAATCTCTCGCGAGGCGACTACAGAGATGCACATCAATGTGCCAATATTGTGACAGTGGATTCCAAATTAAAAAAAAAACGGATCCGTCGCACTTGCTATCTGTACTCGGTATTTATATATTGATTCATATTTAAATTTGAGGTTTCTACTATTTCAATTAAAGCAGACGTGGCAGCGCAGGTCTGAGCCGCTAACCGCGCAATTAGTTCAAATGTTCCCGGCGCCCCCAAGCTGCGACAACTCGAGTTTAGCGCAAATTCACATGCCGTAATTCGTGCCATCCTGGCTTCGTTCAATCCTCGATTTCACTAGCGATCCTCGATTTCGCTAGCGATCCCCAATTTCGCTAGCGATTGAAACACTGAGTTCAGTTTGGGAGTGACGACTGCCCCAGAACCGCGCTAAAAATTACCCACAAAAAGATGCCAGGAAAGCAGGATGCACTTTTCCCCATGCCTGACATACAAATTAGGATAGTGCTTTCCTCCGTGGACGAAGACGATGAGCCGAGGATGCCGAATACGGCAGCCGTGCCGCAGAAGCAGCTGCAATCGGTGTGACTCGGTGAGCAGGGTAACAGTCCAGTAATGGCGGTCGGTCATTCGGGCAGGTTCAGATTCTCCCAAATGCCCGGATGAGGGTAGGCGGCGCTACACTCGTTGAAATTGCGCCGGCTAGGAAGCCCAACTTGGAACGGTGTATAGACTGCGTCAGTGTGTCCTCTTTGTAAGAGGTTTTAAGGAACCTATTTTTAAGAGGTTGCAGGAGTGTGAACGGGCCTTAAGAGGTCGCAACTTTGTGAACGTGCCTTTACACCGCACACTTGTGCATGATGCGTAGAGAAGCCGTTTTTTGCGGGCCTTCGAAATGCCCTTAAAAACATTAGTTTACATGCTGTATTAATGTTGGCTTGAAGTTCCTTGCTAAGCCTAATGAGTCTTTTGCTAAGCTTGACGTGCCTCTTTGTAGGCCTAACTAAATATGGTGTTTTCTTGTTTTTTTTGTTTCATGAAGCCCATTTTATACCAGTTATAGCCTCATTGACCAGTGTTTGACTTTATAAGCAAAACAATTTATTTGAGAGCTTACGGCATACAAGTAGAGTGCCTGGAACAGCACGCCCTCACAGAAACCCTAAAGCTGAAAGTAATCGACTTGCTTTAATTGTTTCTATAATTATGAAAGTTGAGCAGCTTGACTCTCTTTTCTTCTGTTAATTATGTTATTGAGATTTACTTAGGTTAATATGATACACCCTGGCTCTGGAATGGTCAAACGGAAGCTACAATGGTTTCCAAATAAAACCTCCAATTTTTTTTTTTTTTTTTTAATAGGCGCAACACTGGTGTTTACGTAAAAGCTCTATGCGTAAAAGTGGTAACACGGGTAACACCGTAACATTCCGTTGAGTAAACTCCTGGTGTAATCAATACTGCGTCTGGCAACGCTGCTTTGGAAAACCCACCGATCCACATCCAAATCCGAAGATATTTGAGGCTTTGAGGAAAGACGGAAAACTTTCAGTAGAAAAAAACAAAATAAAGGAAACAGTGGTGACAGTGGCGTGAACTTGTTTCACAACGTTAGTCAAGAGCACTGTGCTGACAGAAGCAACTGAACATCAACAAGGAAGTCTCTGTCATGTCCTTGCGGTTCCACTGCCCTGATTGAATGCGCTCAACCTTCTGCTGTCGAGTGAGGTGTTGGCAATCGGCGAGTGCGAGTCTCCGAAAGTGGTCGTCGTTATCGTCGTCGTGCTGAGGACGACGGCAGTCGCGATGAGTGCGAGTTTCACGAAGCGCGGAATGGCCTCGCCTTCGGCTGGCTACAAACAGGCCAGGTATATCTATGAGCTCCCCTTCCAGGCACGAGACAAGCTGTGCAAACTGCTGGATGCCGGCGGACGATGGAAGGAGCTCGGTAGGATGCCTCTGCGTTTGTTCGTCTCACCATTTTTATGCGGGCTTGGCTTACTTCGAGGTACAAGAAGAAAAATTAGAACGAGGGGGTATAATATTTTGAGAAGCTTTCGTCAAAGCAACCACGGCTAGAAAAACAACAAAAAACTTGTGTTAAAGGGGAAAAAAAGTAAAAACTCGCTATTCAAGATTTGAGGTAAACAGATCGATCCTGATTTACCTAAATAATGCCCTCTGTAAACTGTTCACAAGACACTTCTGCTTTTCAACATCAAATTGAATCGTTCATTAATGATCATATTTTATGGATATAATATTTTACAAATGGTTTGTGTAAAGCATGTTTGCCAAAACACGTTTTATTGCTGCAGGTTTCAACTTCATGAACATGGACCACATTGCTGTGAGCCTGATGGAACAAGCAGTGCTCAGGAAAGCGAGCCCAACAGACGAACTGCTGCACAAGTGGGGCGAAAAAAATGGCACCATCAACCAGCTGTTTGTGTACCTCTACAAAATGAAGCACATGCAGGCAATGCTCATCATCAAAGATTTTGGTGAGCAAGCGTCGGCACAAAGTCCTTACCCCGCTCCAAACTAAGCTCGCAATCTTTGCAGTGAATCCCAAGTACCACTCTTTGCTGGAGAGGCAGCAGACCACTGAGTTGGATAGTGCACTCCTCTGCAGCAGCAGCTTTTCTGTGCACTCGTCCCGTTTCCCAGAGTGTAGTGCTCCGCCACAGGTATGATTTTATTGTTTACGTCATGAACTGATAACCTGATCAAATACTCCTGCCCTCACTGGGGCTGGTTTATAGATTGAAGTTGCAAATAATATTTGAGAGGCAGTATCACAGACGTTGTGTGTGCGTCATCCTTCAAGTTGTGCACAGGACCATAAAGGGCTCGGGCACGAGAGTGCAACTCTGCCATATGCACCGGTTGTACAAATGCTTAGCACGGCATACTACTTTTGCGGTGGCACATAGAAGTGTAAGCACGAATTTGCAACACTTACTAGTTTAGACGGCAATGGATGGTCTGCCCGCACAGAGTATGAGATCCTTCTACATGTCCATCTTTTTCTGCAAACGGAGAATGGAATTTTTTTTTGTTGTATTCCAGTTATTTCCTAACACTTCTGAGTGTCCCAGAATTAGGAAAAATTTGTTGTTGCTCTTAGGTTAGAATGAAAGCCACTGAAAATTAGTTGTGTGACGGGTGCTTCGCATTGTTTTAAAGCGATGAAAAGCAGTTGAAAAACATTGTATGCTTCCACATCACAAGATAAGCGTGCACAACATATGCTTTGTTAGGAGAGTTACACATGTGGTGCATATTTTTCCTTCTGATGTGCGGTTAGAGGGATGTTTGCCATTTTGGGGAGGAAATAATGCATTTTGGTACAATTTCATGTTTCCCGAGCCCCAAGAATCATTTCAGTCTCGTGCCATAATATTCTGTCGTCATATTTGTTTAACCGTAATGTCTTTTAGACTGGACCCCTCTTCCTGTTTTGCTATAGCCGTAGATGTGATAATGACAAGGCATGATTTATCAATGAACGTGTCCTAACCACCAAAACACTGTCACATTATGAAAACGTTGCAATCTTCAGAGCTTAGAAAGAACTTCCTTAAAGGACACATGCAAAGGAAAAAAACATTTTTTTTAAACGACTTAGATGGAAAAAGGACGCCATAAAACGATTTTACAACGAAGAAAAAAAATTTTTAGAGCTATATTTACGGCGCAAAACGAATTTGTAGTTGGCGCCCGCGGGCACCGCGGAAAAGTGGTCTGTATTTATCACGTGACTGGTCTTTATTTATCACGTGGTGCTTGCGCTCTTTCGGAAGCTTCCTATGGCCTCTAAAAGTAACTTATTCATCTTTGTTTGAAGTATAACAAAAAACCAAGACGAATAAGTAACTTTTAGAGCCCAAAGGAAACTCCTGAAAAAGCGCAAGCAGACGTGATAGACCTGTGCGCCGGTCAGACGACGGCGGCGGCGCCCCGAAGCAGACGAACTTGTGCGGCGGCGGCGACGGCGGCTTGGAGAAACGCGTTGAAGCGGCGTTCGCACAACGCTCAGCGTGCGGCGGCAACGCAGCGCGGCGGCGCGCGGGCCTGCCACGTGACCAGCAGCGGCTCCCGCGAGCGCCAACTACAAATTCGTATAGCGCCGTAAATATAGCTCTAAAAATTTTGTTTCTTCGTTGTAAAATCGTTTTATGACATCCTTTTTCCATCTAAGCTGTCTAAAAAAAATGTTTTTTTCCTTTGCATGTGTCCTTTAACATACTAGAATAGGGTATATTTTGTTCTAAATGAAAGAACTGCACCGAAATTGCTCACCAGATTGCAAAATGTGCACAGCTTGTGGGAACAATGTTTAAAATTTTAATTGTAGGTACCTAATAAATGCAGATGTATTTTATCAAATCATGTAAAAGACGAGTTCTGCGGTCTCTAGCTGGGTAGATTTCCAAAGTTTGCTAGAGCTATCAGTTCCTGACTGCAAGGACAGTAGGTCACCATTTTATCAGTTTGCATGTTTCCTGTTTTGTTGGTTAGAATCACTCTGAATTTGTGGTACTTTGTGTGTAAACAGAAAAAAAGGGGGGGAGAGAGAGAGAGAGAGAGACTAGGCCTGAGGGCAGAATGGTGACAGGCAAACAGTGCACACTGCACTTTGATGGTGGTGTTCAGCACACTAAAATGTGACAGATACAGATTTGAAGTATGTGGTTTTGTTTTAGTGTCTGTAGAAACAGGCAACAAGCCTGTCAGTGATGCCTTGGTCAGCACTTTAGCTTTGTGAAGTTAGTCTGCTGTTGGACCGTGATATGTGGCTTTCAGTAAAATCAAATCCTAGTGGGAAATCTTTACTGCACATTTATACCATCTGGTTTCAGCAGCGATACACCTGGTTAATGTGTTGTGTTGAGGGCCTTGAACAAAGGATCCTCATGACCTAGTTACCAATCATTTCAGTCTTCCATGGGAGCCGCCGCTTACAACAAGAAGCTCTATCCAGAGGACTGCAACATGAACTTCAATGAGAGCTACCTGCAGGGCAAGGTTGACAGCGGCAAAGTCAAGATGCTGAGTTCGGGCTTGTGAGTACCGTCCATTGCACGCCAAAATTCTGTTATTGTAAAATACCGAGCAAGCGCCCTCTCAAAATTTGAAAATAATCGCAAAAAAAAAAAATGGGATGGGTGCATGTGAGGTCACCAATTTTACATATATATGTGGACTGTACATATGTTTTCAGATTTTCCAAATTTTGGGGGTGGTCGCTTGCTGTGGAATGAGCGGATGCACGGTATTCTACGGTAGTACAGCAGCATGAATATCCGAATTAATTTTGCTTCCATGTTTATTGCTGTTAATTTGCTGTGTTTTATCGACATGCTCCACATGGCCTAAAGACACTGTTTATTTGTAGGCCAGGCAAGAGCAACAGAAGTCGACAGCTTGCTCCCCAGAATAACCTCCCGTCTGTGAGCAACAACTGCTTTGTCAATGTGAACAACCTGTACCCCGACCTGCCGAGGTTGCCAGCCACCAGTAACAGAGACTCCAGCAGTTCCGAGGGAAAAGTGCAAAACATTGGCAGCAAGAAACCCAACATCACTCCCGACAGTCCTCAGAGGAGTACAGTCGTCGGTGCAAAGAGAGGTTGGAACCTTCTGTCGTCGTCCAGCTCTGTTCCAGTTATAGTTGGTGACGGGCTGAGAATGAAATGCATGTACTGCCACCAGCGAGGGCTTCCTACAGTTGATAACGCTTTGTCGCACATACAGCCAAAACCTGGGAGGAAGCAATAAGTGCATGCTGGAGGCAGAGCTTCTACTGAATCCTTAGCCTGTCACCGACTAGTTTTGTAAATGAAAGTCTCGAGCGTCACGAGCCAAGTCTTAAATCCTGTCGTTGCAGATTCTGGCGAGGTGCAGCCGATAGTCAACACTATATCGTACAAAGAACTCCTCTCGGCCACCGAGGGTTTCCTTGAGAGCAACATTCTGGGCAGAGGCGGATTTGGCACGGTGTACAAGGGCTGCTGGAAGGACACTACAGTTGCCATCAAAAGGTTGCACCTGGTGAGGAACGCACGGTCTTGCTGAATGGCAATGAGTAAAGTGAAAGGTAGATGTATGGGAACGCTTACCTGCTGCAACTTGGTTCTCAATAAGTGAAAACCTTGATAAGTGCTTTGTCAATTTGTGGGTTCTTTTCTTCCTTGTTGTTATCTGCCCTTGTGAGAGCTGAGTTAGAGTTTACGCAGTGTTGTGCCAATTACTCAACAAAAGTATCTAAAGAATATAAAGACTGCTGACAATCACATTCTGCTGTGATTTTTGACTTTCAAGAAACGACTTAGCTGCTGCAATTGAAATTTAATTTGAAATAATTTGGGATGGTACCGAAAGATTTTAGGAACAAAGGGAACTCGCATATTGTAGACATTGTAACTGGCGTGCATTAGTTTGGCGGCAGGCTGGGCTCGTGACGCATTCCACAATATGTAGCATGCCTTAACGCGATTTGCGGGACTTGATGCATAGTCCGTCATTGCATATCCCTAACAGCCGAACTAGAAGTTGATCAGGCAGCCAGACTTGATGATTAGTATGCGATTGAACGACAAACGTGCACGCTCAGGAAAAACATTGGCTCGAGTACAGCAGCATCTGTCACTGATCAATAACCAAGAGCGAGTATTTTTGTCTCCCCAGTAAAGTGCCTTCAAACTGTCAAAAAAACAAAAAAAACATTGGGATGGTCAAGAGGGAAACACAAGAGAGTGTTCACGAAATCGCTTCCAATCCCCATTTTCTGCCCCCCTTTCACGTCAGCTCAAACCATTTTTGACGCATCGAGGTCAAGATTCCAGAACCAGAATCTACCAGTTTAGAAATAACTGGCTCCACCTGATAATAAACTGGGTTTGAGGATTCTGAAAATGAAATAATGAGTGCATCTGAAAGGAGCTGAAAGAAACGATTTTGAGCGAGCTTGGGAGCAAACGTTAAGCTAGAATTGGCACACAAGGAGCTAGGTCACTGCAGCTCACTAAAGCCATCGGGATCTAGCTTCCTGGGCTGAGGAAGTGGCTGCACTCGCTTGAAAATGTGCACATGCATTTTTACACCAGAATCCTCTGAACCGGCGACTTATGAAAGTGGTCCATTGTGACTGTACCGAGCGTTGGCCTCACAATCTTCTGGTGACGGAACAACTCTAGCTTTACACAAAAGGTGTAAAATCCGGTTGACTTCACCAGCACTTTGCTAGTACCAAGATTACCGTGCCATTCAAAAACAAGTTTAAGAAAAAGAAGAAAAAAAAGCCGACAAGAGGTTATTTAAAGGTCACACATTTGTACTTGGGCCTATCAAGTTGGTCTTTTGTTGGCATTTGAAGACTGCATTTGCTCGTGCCTCGGTTTTTGTTCTGCGTTAGGTCATTCTGCTTCAAGCTTGCAGTCGGTTCATCTTTGCCCTGGAGTCTGACGATCCCTGGCGACACAGTTTTTCCTGAAAATGTATTTGAGATACTGAGTACAAGATAGTGAGAAATGTAACTAAGATAGGGTAGCAAATACTTTAGACAAAATATATTTGGAAGATACCAAAATACTACGAAAAGTATTTGAAATACAGTATCTTGAGTAGAGTATTTGAGATAGGCAGAAGCCTGGATTTTGGTGTGGTGCATGGATGCCTTGAACTGAAAGGTGTTGATTGACCTGCAGTGGTTAAAAACTTTAAAGTTTTGTGCACGGCCAGGTTAAAAATTGTACGGCCAGAGAGCATATGGATAATGAAGCTTCACCTGTAAACTGTAAGTGTAATTGTGTTGGGCAATCTTCTATGTAAGGTGGTGTAGTAATTTGCGTGATTTGCGTATTCACAAAAGGACTACCCGACAGAATATACCACATCAAAAAAAAATCTTAGTGAATTCGCAGTTTCAACATATTTCTGGAAACTTGAAGTGTGTGGTTGGTATGTTGCTAAGAAGGCTCGCTGCAATTTTTACAGAAAGAGAAGGATGCCGACATCAGACAGGACCAGAACCTAAAGCAGTCGCTGACCGAACTGAAGGTCTTGCAGAGGTAACCAATCAATTTCTCGCGGCTATAACTACTCTTCTTTTATGTTTTCTAACCAAATGTTTCCTTCGAAAACACCTCCTGCGCAGCTTTCGCATTGACAACATCCTACCCCTGTACGGTGTTTCCCTGGATGGCCCCGAACCTTGTCTTGTGTACCAGTACATGAAGAATGGATCCCTCGAAGACAGGCTACGCTGCAAGGTAGAATGAAGGCTTTTCGATAAAACGGGTGCAATGCAGTGCTGTAGGAGCTAACCAATGTTATACAATCCCCGTTTTCTCTCTTTCTAAAGCATAAGACGCCTCCTCTGAACTGGACCCAGCGGAATGTGATTGCCAAGGGCACAGCAAGGGGCCTCTATTTTCTGCACACAAGCATCAAGGGCCAGCCCCTCATTCATGGAGACATCAAAAGGTTAGCTCTTTGAAATGACCTTTTTTTCATTGTAGTTTTGTATCTGAATGGACCAATCATCTATTACCTGCCTGTTACGCACCCAATTACAGCACATTTAAATATAGGGTGGGAGGGGCCCAGAAGAGCTTGCATTTCCATTCCAGTGCCTCAAGGTCTGTTCACTCCTGTGTCCACTGTGGTTGCTCACTTGGCAGCTCGTGTGTTGCTCATTTCTTCCAAGAGTGTAACATTCCACTGTGCCCAGGCCTGCTTCATACGTGGAATGGAGCCTTCTTAAGGGATCCTTGCCGGAAGGAAGACGTATGGGTTTGCAGCCGACTTTTAATGCAGAATGTTTTATATGGCTGGCACCTAACACCTAACCCAGACCACTCCAATGGCGGGCGGGCCAGCTAGGGTGTTTATACCTCAACCGCACGAACTGGCAAGGAGGGTTGCTCTGACAGGAGAGGAGGGCGATCGTTTGCTGAGCGTGGGGCCTCTGCGTCACCCGGCAGGGTGTAAGAGGACACTCAGCTTCCAGTCACCGATGGAAGATGTTCGCATCAGAAACCTTTCAATGCACTCTTTGTCTTTGTTTTAACCTTATTTAACCGTAACAAAGTCTTTCTTTTATTCATTACTTTAAAAATGGCGACTTCTTGAACCATCAAGTTAGCAAACCCCAATGGCCTACAATGGTTCGTCACTGCTGCATTTCGATGGCGGGGGGAGTGCTTCAGCACAGTAAGCCCCCCCCCCCCCCCCACCCATCCTGGCTACGTCGCCGACTCCGACTGCCTATTTACGTTCTGTTTGTTGCAGTGTTATCTACCTTGGCACTTTCTGCTCTGAAAGCTATTTTGGTGCTGTCCAGTGCCAACATCCTGCTTGACTGCAACCTGGAGCCCAAGATTGGGGACTTTGGCCTGACGCGAGAGGGGCCGCCGACCGAGCTGACGCACATTGTTGTGTCGCATGTGCACGGCACCAAGTACTACCTGCCCCACGAATACCTGAAAAGCCGGCAGCTCTCTACAAAGGTGGACATCTACAGCTACGGCATTGTGAGCCCAAGTTTTTGCTCAATTTATATCTGAAGAATTTTTTTTCGCTACCATAAATAAAGATACTGAAGTCGCTAATGCAAACCGAGTTTCATTATGAACATATAATAGTAATAATAATATCGTAATATCCTGAGATGCCCCACCCCCAAAAGATAGCCCACCCCTCTTGTGGTGTGATTTGGTATTTTTTTTCAAGAACACCGAAAGATATCTCACTTCTAGTAATTACAGGGCCCTGGCCAATGGTGACCTCGACATAAACGGTGTTACTTAACCATGGTGAGAGATAAGCGAACATTGCTGGCTGGGAAGGACAGTCAATCATTTTCGGTTTATCGCCCCTTCCTGCGATCACAAGTTCCGAGGCTCACAAAATCTAAAACTAGCATTTTTTCATTTTTTTTTTTTTTTTTTTATGACATACCAAAAGTTAACTTACCCTTTACTTTCATCTGATTGGCTATCGATTTCAGGCAAGCTATCTCTAAGGCTATTACGGTAATACAGTCTAAGCTCGTTATAACAGACCTTGATTTTGACCAAGATTTCAGTCTGTTGTAAAAGGAGTATGAAGTTGAGTCAATGGTATGTAGAGGAAAACCAAACAAACTTCACAGATTGGTATGTTATATGCAAATGTCTGTTGTAACCAGGTCTGTTGTAACGAGCTTAGACTGTAACATATTTCTGGAGCGACTTTTGAGTCGGTAGGCATGAACGGATGAAATTGCTACAAACTAAAATGCATCTCACAAGGTTAACATTAACAATTTCTTAACCGGGAATTTAAATTTGTGGCAGGGTGTGATAAAAAAGTTCCGTGACTGATTTTGTGGCTTAAAGGCCAACGTACACTTTGCGCTTTCCATTTTTCCCCGCCACCTCCTTTCCTCTATCCTCTCCACGTTTTACCTAGCCCCAACCTGGCTCCCCCTCGCAGCTTAGGAGAGGGGAGCGCTGAGAGGATTATCTTCCCTGCAGAAAACCGAGGTTATACTTCGGCCTTTAGAAAGAGAGGGTAGCACAGTGATGCGTGCCTAGCAGTCGAAGAAAGAGACCTCCGTGTTTCGTTATACCAAAGGGCGTCGCTCTGTGAACATCTAGAGCTGCGCTAAACGAGCTTTCGTGACCACTTGTAAAGCACAATGGCTATTTCACTATAGACTGCAAACCAGAGCGAGAGCGAACATCAATTTTGAATTAAACTTGGCGAATATAAAACAGAGACCTTAGAAATGATTCAGCAGGCTTATGTCAAAAAGCAGGGAATTTCATTAAGTGTTCTAAGTGGCTTTCATGCTTCAGGAATGGCAGAACATTGCTGGAAGACGAAGAGCGGTAGGGCGACTTCATCCAACCTCTCCTTGTCTTCAGCGACTTTCTGCCATTCTTGAGGCGCGAGTGCCACTCAAAACACCTTACACACCTCACTACTTTTTGACATAGGTAATCTTTCTAAATCATTTTAGAGGTCTCTGTTTTAGATTTGCCGAGTTTGACGTAAAATTAATGTTCGCCCTCGCTTTGGTTTGCAGTCTGTGGAGAGATTGCCGTTATGCTCGTGCCTGTGGTCAAACGAACTCGTGTAGCACAGCTCCAAATGTTCACAAAGTGAAGCCCTTTGGTATAACGAGTCGCGACGGTCCCTTCCTTCGACTGTTGTGTGTGCATCATTGTACTGCCTTCTCTTTTTATGCTACAAAATCAGTCCCAGAACTTTTTGATCATACCTTGTATACATATGTGGTCTATCCTGGCAGCGTTTAAAAGGGATATGTTCTTTGAGAATACAGCATCCCTTCAAAGAGGCACTGAAATGATCTATGAGATTGTCTTTTTATGACACAAACTCAATATGCATAGGAAACCCAAAATTACAATTAGCTATGTATGACTTTAAACATGCAACTAAACATTGCGTTACTCCACTTTTCTGAGATATATCTCTGAGAAGGGGACGTGTGGCAATGTTAAGTTGCCAAAAAAAGCAAAGAGGACCACGCATGATTGTAATTCTGGATTGTTTAGGATGCTTGGGGCACACAAGTCGTCGCCATTAAGACAAACTAAAAATCTACTTCAGTGCCACATTAAAACTTGTATAACATACTACGGCAGTCGGAGCAAGGTCATTGCTTGCTTCCCAAGTTGATTAAACAGAAAATGAACCAATTGTAATCATAGTGTTGAACACAATGCAGGATTTCAGAGAAAATTTGATCAATTGTGTTTGCCTGCCGGTTAGTTTAACCATTTTTCATTTTTTCAGGTCCTTCTGGAGCTGGCCACAAGCAAGCATGTGTTCGATAAGCGACGCAAGTCGAAAGCTCTGGTAAGACGTCACTTGTCATGCCTTTCGTTTTTCTTTCCTTCCTTCTATCTGCTGCCTCTCTCTGCTCTCTTTTCAATTGGACTTTCATCAGCTGCTTGGAAGCTGTCCAATGGTGCAATTTATTGTATGTGATTATTATCGTAATCCAAGCATAACATCTATGGAATTTTCTAAGTCCTCCCCTCTGTAACTTTTTCAGACCCTGAGTGTAGGAATAGATAAATGAAACATTTTGCCCTTTTGTGCTCAGCTGAAACTGATAAGCCCCCAGTGAACAAAAGATATATACTGTTCCAGTTCTCTCTTTTTTCCTTTATTTTTTTTAAGGCCTTACTTGTCCCATTACTTGAAAAAGTGAGGGCGTTGTCCCCAAAAGATGGTCATAAAGATATGTCATCAAGCACGTGCCTCAGAAATAAAACACAAAGAAGAGCACAGCAACGCAGATGCCTCGTCACAGAAGCCGGCGAGTGCGCTCAAGGTCAAAGCTGGTGCGTCAGAAATAAAATGCAAAGAAAAGCACAGCAACGCAGATGCTTTGTCATGGCCGCGCTGAGATCGGCCCTACGATTTTGGCGCGGTCGATCCGGCGTGATGTCACCGCCGGTGCGCCGTGTGCGATAGGAAAATGTGGCTCGCCGCTTGTAGGAATGCGCTGCATGTACAAATGATTTCGCCTTCCTACACGTACGCAGTCTTAAGTCTCTGCCGAATTTTAATCTTCGTTTTATGTGCATCAACAAAAAAAAAAAAATAATAACCCTTTGATGGCCAAAACTTTACTTTAAATACTGCAGACCTAGAAACCCTGACGTGGTTTTAGAACACACAAACTAACAGAAATCTAATCTCAGAAAAAAAAAAAAAATCTTTTGTCGTAATTATGTTTTTTAAATGTTTCTTGTGAGCAACATTGGGCATTTGCAGCATTAATTTACGTCCTTTGACCGAAAGGAGTCACGACCTGGGAGAAGGCACTGGTGCACTTCGAATTTCGCACAGTTGAGACCTTTTTAACCAGGTTTGCAATATTTGCAGCTGGTTTTCTGCTCAGAGCGTCAAGGTCATTGGTGCACGCCATCATACCTCCCATCCACTGCCAGCTTTGGTTATAATGGACAAGTGATCTGTTTTGAAGATGTAATTAGATCTTTCACTACCGAGCGCAGGTCACCTCACCCTCGCGACAGAGGGCACTAAATTTTAATGTGAAAGCATTAACTGGTCCCATGGAGTGAACCGACATCATCAGCTTTGAAACCACGCCAAACGTTGGCCAAACGGTGGCATAGTTCCACAAAAGGCTACCAGAGGAGCCCAGCCGCCGCTAAGAGCAGTGCGGGCCTGGCGGCAGAGCCCGCTCGGGCAAACTCCAGGGAGGGCACACGGCCGATCTCGGCGCGGCCACTTCATGAGAGCGCACGCTCGGCTGTCCGCCGGGGAAACGCGGCTGTCCACGCCACTATGCCGCAGACAAACTAAGGGAGCAGAAAAACAACATTATTGAGGCGCACATGGCTCCTGGGCAATACTGGGCATAAAAGGGTTAATATTATCTAAACTTTTAACAACTGCTTGATGTCATAAGCTAGGTGAGATCACCTTCTGTGTTTTTTGTTTTTTTTAATAAGTACAGTGCCCCTTAAACTTAACGCCGCCACTCGGTTTCGCAAATATTGATCCATTCAATTTTATTGCATGCTACCCAAACATGAATTGATCGCTGCAGCTACTGGAATACCTTCCCCTGGTTAAGTTTTCATTGGGGACGCAAATCTTCACCAACCATTTTGACTGCTATGTTCAGGAATAGCTCACAAAGTGAAGAAACCGAACCATCTCGTGACGGCGTTAAGTTTGAGGCGCACTGTACCTGCCACTGCAGAGCGTATCTGATCAAGTGATGCATAATCGTTTCTAGCTGCCATCAAACTTCTGCTGTTGCTTCAGCAGCTCGACAATGCTACTACACAGTGAAGTACGACACATAGTTAATGAATAAAGTTAACACTGACTTTCATAAAAGCTTTGGTATTTACAGAAGATTAAAAGGTGCATGACATGGAAACAATGAAGAAGTTGGATTGTCCTTGATTCTTATATTAGGCTACCGAAACTGTGATGTCGCAAACTTGTAAATTTTTTATTACTGGGTGAAAAATAAATTAAGCAGGATTTCACGCTTATATTATACAGTAAAACCTCGTTATAACAAAATGGGATATAACAAACTAATGGATATAACAAAGCAATCATAATTCCCCTTGCTTGCTAATATGTAGTGGGAAGAAATGGACATTGGCTATAACAAACTAATGGTTTTAACGAAATAATTACGACCGCTCCTTCAACTTTGTTATAACGAGGTTTTACTGTACTTATGTTATATTTTTAAAAGCTTTAGATTCATGTGTCAATACAATAAAACTTTAGTTCAGATGGGGAGACTTCTTGATGCAAAGATCTGAAGTGTAGAAATAGCTTTCTTCAGCAAAAAGAATGTGTGTGTAGGATAAACAGATCACACTTGGTCCTTTCAGATTGATCATGTAGCAGACTGTGCCCGAAGTAACCAGCTAGACTCGCTGAGAGATGTGGGTGCCGGTGACGAAAACTCGGTTGTCTTTCACCTGCTGATTCACCTCGGACAGAAGTGCTCCAGCCCAGAGAGGAAAGAGAGGCCCGAAATGGAAGAGGTAGACACAGTTTTCAAAAGTCACTTGGACGCTGAGCCGCGATGCGAGAAAACCGGTCGCAATACTGTTCCTCATATATTCCTTCGCAGGTTTTGCAGCAGTTCCGAGAAAATCCAACAGAGGCTGTCAGACGTGAGTTGCCTTTGTCATTTGATGTAGTGTGCAGCGTGGACTGGTTGACAGTTTTGACAGCATCACGGTCTGGTCCTGTTTCAAGTTATTATGCAAAATTGCTCTCTAGCAGAAACATACCCAGGTTTACCGTTGTACTAACGCGGAAGGCGGCAAAGTTGGTGACCTGCCAGACACCCGTGCGTCCAACTGACTGGGCATCTTCGCACATCTTGCGTGTCAACGTGTTAGGAATCGACCCACACGACGCTCCCCAACCTCTGTCTATGCATTTTTGCACTCTCTGTGTCCTCGCGGTAAAAAAGGGACGGAAAAGGATAACGAGAAGTTGAATCGTAAAAGCACGGCAATTGCGCGCAAGGCGGTTTGATCAACAAGTCAAAATACAACCGTAATTATTTTTCTTTTTTCTAAACAGAATGATTTAGATGCTGTGATGTAAAAGAGCGTGAAGGGAGTTGTTTTGATGCAGGGCTGTCCCAGTGCACCTTCCCACCGTCCCAGCCAGGCAGCCAGAGCCCGTCGCCCCTGGACATCCAGCTGTGGTACGACATCCGGCAGGCAGCCATGCAGTCCACCAGGCCCACCTTCCTGACACCCAACACCGCCCCTTTGTCGACGACGCCCACTGTGCTGCCCACCAGGTAAGGTGGGCACCGTACCGCCAGTCTTGCAGTCTCTTCTTCCGTCGTTCGTCTCGATCGTTTCGTTTATGATGGGGTCTCAGCCCAGATTGCATAAAACTCAGGGCCATGTGTGTGAGCTGTATTGTGCCATGCGATACGCTAACTTCCTCTTTAGCGGGCAGCTCTAAGCCGCAAAATTTGAGAAACTGTTGTTTTCTTGGAATATTTTTAATGCGAATGGAGCAAGCCACTCCAAACGGCACCTTAAATCCTTTCTTCCAGTGAAGCCAGCTCCCAGCTATGAAACCATGCGAAAAGTTAGCCAACGGCACCTAAATTCCCCGATCCCAAAGGAGCAGAGTAAAGCTGATGGATTTTTCGGCTTCAGTCCCATTGGCTAGTGTGCGTCGACAAGGCTCCGATTGGCCGCTGCGCGTCAGTTTCAACGACCGCTCACCCCACGGCGCTGCGTGTCTGTCAGCGCTTTGTTATCAAGGAGCGTCTTCGGTCAGTGCACCCAGGAGAGCGTGCGCGCTGACCGGTGACGAAAAGTATGCAGCAAACAAAATAAGGGAGCGGACGAGCGGCTTGCATGGCTTTCACATTCACAACTCCTAAGAAGTGCTTCGATGTACCTCGAGCTTTTTTTTTTAAGACTTGCATCAGTTTTAATGTATCTGCAAAAGTTTTTGTGACTGTTCATGTGCGTGGACATTCATGCCAGTGACACCAGGGACTCAATATTCTTTGTAAACTTAGATAGGTGTTAATAAATCCTAATGGGCATTCTAAGGGACATTTCAAAGGTTAAGAGAAAAATAATGATACAGTCAGAGTAACAAAAGCCGGTCTACTTGCTTTGCATGAAATTAAAACGACAGTTATGGACCGTTTCTTATTTTATGATGAGCACCAATGCCACTTTGCCTTCGTCCAACCTGGGTTCTTACATCCAGGGCACTTTGTATTGTGCTGTTAAGTGCCATTCTCTGTCTAGTGCCTGAGAATTTTTGCCCTTATTTATTAATACTGATTAAGGGCAAATCTGGCATTAGGCTGCCTTGCTGCTAGCTCTAAAACATGCAAGGAAATGGCTCAGCTTTATTCAGCAAAATATTTATGATTTCTTCTCCCGCACAAAACACGAGGATAGTTGAGATAACTTCGGCGCTTTTGTCTTGATGTTCAACCACGTGGATAAATAATTCTGACAGTACATTTGATTGAGCTAGTCATGAGTTGCAAGTTGGTGTTCTTTGCAGTGTGCTCTGGCCTCCCAAACTTCTAAAAGCACAGTAAGAGAATGCTGTATTTTATGCAAATAAGTATAATGCACCTTGGTGTCTTCTCTAAAATGAGCAAATGGTGCATGCAGTAAGTTTTCAACATGTACTGCAATTTGGTTGCACTTTTTTTAGAGTTAGTCAGATGGCAGCAGAGACATTGTCCTGGTGATGCACAGGCGGCCCTTCTGCCTGTCCATTCCACTTGGCCGAAGCGTTTCCTTATGCACTCGCTCTGTTTCAAGTTTTTTGGCCTTAAGAAAACTCCTAACCGTGCAAGATTCTCACTTACACACTTGCAACACTCTTGCCATTTTCAACTGGCTGGGGTCGAGTAATAGTAACAAACTGGGTTATAGCGTTGGTTCCAATTTCTTGCCCACCGATGCTGCTATGTAGCTGCAAAAAATGGGCACCTAAATTTTAATTGTTCAAAGTCTGCAGATATGCAAATGATATATCGACGACTTACCCTCATAGTCATTGTACCGTCGTAATCGCATCCCCTTATGAACAAACGACATGTGGAACTTTGTTACAACTGCTTTCCGACACGAAACTGGTCTTTTATTAAAGTTCTCGTAATAGCCTCGTCCCAACACCTACTTTTACTGCCGCAAAAATTAGCCGTACTGAATCGGGAGATGACAACACGCAGCATTGATACTGGCCAAACTAAGGCTTATGCTTCTTCGTGCACCCGCGTTTTATGCGTAAACATACTTCGCGCAACCTTACCGATTGGGGATGTGCCACTCTGTACGTTTCAGCCCGAGGCTCTCGCCGACATTACCCGGCAGAATGGCCCCACCTCCGTCGCCGTCGGGAGCGGCACCGTCGGCAGTGGCACCATCGACCGCGGTACCGTCAGCATCGTTGGCGTCGATGCCCCCAACCACAGAAAGACCCATCGTCCCCCTCGCCATTCCCGAAACCTTGCATTGCCCCCGAAAAATGACTCCACCGGGCTTCCTCTTGCCTCGAATTTCCGAGCTGGGAGTCTCCTTCAACTCGGAGGAGCACGAAAGCAAACGGGTGGAGCATTCTCGCACCAGCGAGCTGAGCGGCATGAACTCGGACGGGGCCGAGAGCGACGACAGCGCGGCGGATGACAGCGGAAAGGTTTTCTCGGATCCAAGGTTGCTCAAGAGCTCTCTCCAACTGCCGGACCTGGACCACCTCGAAATAAGTTCGGTCGAGCTCTTGGAAGATTGACGCTTCGTGTTTGGGACTGTGCAATCGAGGTGGCACTGCCGCGATCTGACATCGACCGTACGGTGTCGCGGCGCTAAGTGCGAGCGTCTTGCCGACGAGGCTCAGAGCCCCGCAATAAGTCGTACGTGCATCTGCCAAAAGAAAATGCTCTCTTTCTCGATAATTTGCGCTCAGTATACTCCCGTCATAAAAGGCACGCGGCAAATGAGTACGTAAATTTATCCGAGCGTCGTTGTAACCACTAATCCATTCATTCAAGCTCTCAATTGAAAGTGTGCTTCCCATTGATGCAACTGCTACGGTCATTCGAGACTTCAGGTTAGTCGCCCCGTTTTACGAGTCGCGACGTCGCTGCATGCACCATCTCGGGAGTTATTGTAAGAGACACGGGCACGAGTGCCTGGCTCTACAGAGTGTGTGCACAAGGTCTCGCTCGAGGGAAGTGCCATGTTGTCGCGTTTTCGTCTAATTGGGCCACACTACAAGTTGTGAGGGAGAATATACCTACGAATATAGAAGAGACAGATGGAACGAAAACGGCAGGGACCGTCTTTTGAACGCCCGGCTTCCAGCCTGCCATTCCAGCCTGCGCTTCGTGCCTCGCGTCGTGCTTTGGCTGCGCACGTGCTTGAGGCCCACGAGACGTTGAAGCGTTGTCGAAGGTGGGAAGCTCACGCTGGATGGAGGCGGCACGACTGAAGCTCTCCCCTGCCATTCTCGCCTAGTCAGCGACTACAGCTTGGCTGTCTGCACAAGCGCTCGTACAACGCCAGCACCATTTTGAGCCAATGCTCATGTGCCTGTCACAACGCCGCATAATAGTATGTGCAAAGTTGAATATAAAAATATTTAGGTTTAAGATATATAGTCATATGCTACTAATGCATATATATGCCTGAAGTGCAAAGCACATCTCTACTTTCTGTGATAACAGAGTTGTATAAGTACTACTATATACTATTAAATGTTACGCAGTGCCTTGGGCTTTGTCCTACTATTGCTGTCCCGCAATAATCGCTCAATAAATGTTTTATAACTGGAAAGTTTGATGGCACAGGAAACTCCCGTTTTTTCTTCCCTGTGCTAGCACTTTGCCGATGCAACGGTGGTGCTATAGCCATAGGTAATGGTGCTGGTAGTATCTCCCGCTTTCCCACTTAATTATATTTTTAGTTGCTTGCTTGGGGATGTTTCTTCCAGACAGCATGTTCTTCGGAAGAACGACAGAATAGGTGCCAAGACTGCGCTCGAGCGAGCCAATTCTTTTATTTTGAATAACAAATTTAAATTTGGAGCAATAGTAGTATTCTGGAGCAACTGTTAAAGAGACATATCCTCTGAAAGGAAAGCACTAAGTAGTACTCTATTGGAGGGTGACTCGTACCATTCAGTTGAACTGCCGCTTGGGGAAATCTTCTACACGAGACATTAATGAATGGCCAAGATGGCAGCAGCTGGCGAGGGCTGTTAGTGCTTTGAGCAATTCCAGATAATTACGAGGAAAGTTAATGCACTCGGTCAATGTGCGACCATTTATTTTGGCTGCATCATCTCATTTGCCTTTCGGAACAGTGACTTGGAAGCATGTGTGGCACTCTTGCATATGCACATATTCAGAGGGTTTTTCGCATGGTCAGAAATCTTGCAACCCGTTTCGCAGAGTTTTTCTCCTTGGCTTTCTAGTTCTACACTATAAAAAAATTATTGGTCAGTCTTAAGACTACACAGTGGATATTAAATCCAGCCCTTTTGTAGAAAGAGCTTCACCCTTTAATAAATTAACTGTAAACAGGTACACATTTTTTTTTTTCGTCAACTGGCGCAGTGGCATATGCCTACACCAAGACCGACGACCGGATGACAACGAACAGGAGGAAAGCCTCCTTTGGACGCTCCTGATGTACGGTGTGTGCGACACCGGGGCCCGTCTCACAATCTTACATTTCTTGTGGCATGGACCACCCCACATTCCGACACCCGCCAGACTTCGTCCCCCCTTTGCGAGTTTGTACATGAAGCCGGCATGATGGGCAAGATGTGATAGCCCTTTCCTCTCCACCCTTCCCAACATTGGGCCATAGGGCCATCCTCGTGGCATATATTCTTTCTCTCTTTTTGTCACAAAATACACACGTGTCTGTCCTAATTGATGCCGAATGGGTAGGGAAAAACTGGAGCATAATGCTCTTGCATACATCTTTTTTTTTTTTTTATGTGAAAGCATTAGTTGTTTTATGGAGAGAGTTGAACGTCATCAGCTTTGAAACCATGCGCAACGGCACCTTAATGAAACCACGCGCGAAGCTAGCCAATAGCACCTTTTACACTTCAGACCCATTGGCTGGCGCGCGTCGAGGAGGCTCTCATTGGCCACTGCGCATCGGTTTGTGTGGCATCATCTTGACTGTGTTATCACACTGTTGTGTTATCGCTGCGTTTGCTCGCCTTTTATTGGTTGTACGCGTGGCAATGTGGCAATATATACGGCGCATGGAATAAACTAAGGGGTTCGTTCTGCTGGAAACTACGTCGCTGTCTGTTCCTTCCTCGTGCCGCAAGGCACACGACAGTTTAAACGATCGCTCACCCGATGGTGCTGCATGCCCGCGAGGCAGTGGCTCCATCGTTCCACGCCCAAGCTCAGCTCTCTGTACGCTGCTGATTAAAGAAGGGAGCGAAGAGCAGCGTGGCGCGCTTTCGCTCATAGGAAGTGCTTAGGTGTATCTCGAGCCTTCTTTCCTTTATGAGATGCTAAATAAACTCTGCATTAATTGCACAAAATTTACTGAGCACATCAATTTTTTTTTTTTTTGTAATTATAGTATGTTGCATATTTTTGTGAGAAGTCCTACTGCAGAATATAAAACTACTTTAGGCATCTGGAAATAAGTGGTCACTACCACTTGGGGTTTCTATTTCAAAACCAGCCACCATCAATGGGCACGTACATATATGGGGAAACGGGACAAGTTGTTTTGAGTCCACAGCAGCGAGTTTTAAAACTTCTTTATTACATCAAAAAAGAACAGCTCTGTTCAAGAGCACATCTGCACCTATACATTGCACACTGGCTTCTATATCTCTGTACTTGTGTTCTTTGAACCACATTGTTGGAAAAAAAAAAAAAATGGATGCAAGTGAGTTCGTTAGCTTTGGTACTTTCAAACAGCAAGTCAAAAGTTGATAGCCTTGCCAAAGTATGCCGCCAGATTAGCTTCTCGGAAAGCTTCCGAAACGGTCTGAAAAAGAAGAGGCACGGTATGACGTTGCATTGTTTTTATGTTAAAAACACCATCCGCATGACTGGCAAGTCATGCATATAGATAGATATATGGATAGGTGAAAAAGTGGAGTATGCCAAATGCCACACTTGGGCTGGCTTGCTGATCAATATTGGTATCTCTAGCTGCGGTTAACTTGCCCGCTAGAGGGATTTTGATGTTATGTGACCGACTCTGTGGGGAGAGAGTACCTAACGCTCCAGCCCATTCCACTTAACAGACGTAAGCCTTGCCTATCGTTTCAAATCTCGCTTAATGCCTTTACATGCCGCTTCTAAAGTACACGAATGTGGTTCATTTCATTTACATTTCAACCATCTTCACCCTTTCTCTGCAGGCAGAGTCTTACTTTAATAATCAAAGCAAAGACAAACTTACAGCAGTCACTTGCCTGTAACACTAGGTACATTTAGTTTCTCGTCCCCACAGAGCCGGTCAATTGACCTCAAAATCACTCCTGCGGGTGAATTAACCCCCGGGGAGACAAATCCGCAAACTGTGCCTGGACATCTTTGCACGGAGTTCCCTTATTGCAATGTTAATAAAGTTAAATAGTAATGTGGGAGGAACGTGCCACGCAGTAACCCCAACTTACCGGGTGGGCGTGGCAAACCCTGGCAACGTCCTCGCAGGAAGCACCATACTCCAGTGCAAGAGCAGCCTCGTTGATGATCTCCCCGGCACCCTGAGGATGCACCCACAGGGAGTTAAAGGCACTTCAACATTCACAAAAGGAAAATCTATCACACGCTCTCCAGCACACAAGTCGTGGCTTACGGGTTCAATACGTTTGGGCTATCTTAATCTAACTTGAATGCCAGTCGGCTGCTTCAAGCTCCTCACCGTATCAGGGCGAGGAGTTTGAAGCTGGGGGATTGACACGACAGTTTGCGCAGAGGGCGTTACGGCGTCTCTGATTCTTACTCTGTTGCATCTGTGGAGGCTCCTGTGGAAAACTTTATTTTGCAACCACCAGGGTGCAAGACGTGCTGTCTTGGCTGTGCACACGCACGCTGTTGTGTTGTGTGGCACGGCACACTTGTTTCGGCTAATGGAGCTAGCCGATTAGGACGCTTCTGTTCAAGTGCGGTTCGACAGTTGCTTACGAGCATTCGTATGGCACCATGCAGACAATTTACGTCGCAACAGTTTTTTTTTTCTCTGTTTTTTTTTTTTCAGTGACATTCTTATTTAAATTTGTTTGCATCAAATATGCGGCAAGGGAGATTGCGAATTCTGCTCGAAGGAACAAGCTGAAATTCCCATAACTTCATAAATTGCCGGGTTTGGCCTGACGAATTAAGGCAACTGGTAAATTCGCTTTCTCCAATTTTCGCTAAGAATTTTTAAATTTAAAAGCTTTCGCTGAAAAGCGCACCACACATTTTGTCCAATTCTTTGAATACAAAAATGCACACCCAGACGCAATTCATAGCAGGCGTATGACTCATTTTTAGGAGGCTGAAGTGACACCAACTTAGTACATCTACACGTTTCGATTCTGGAAGGGGCTTTGCACGTTTCACATCTGGCTGGAAGAAGTAGACGACTGCTTCTTCCAGCCAATTGTTTCGGGACATTTGTTTACTGGTTAGCAGAAAGGAATCAACTTAGAACCAGTGTTGGAAAGTACTTCTATATTGTACTTAAAGTATAATTTCAAGAAGTTTTAGAAAACTTGTGTACTTTACTTGGAGTACATTCTCCGGATGTGAACTCGTACTTAAGGTTTCTTTTTCTGGTACTTTCCGAGGAAAGTACAACTCCCGACTTCAAAATAAAATCCCCAAATTTCAAAAAAAAAAGTTGTTGTGTCAAAACGTCCCATCGTCTTTCAAGACGTCATCTGGTTACTCCTCTGGGTGAAGTAATGGCGGCTATGAGACCAATATGAATAGCCGCCTTATAAGTTGATTGTGTTAAATAGTAACTTTTAGATGTTCTTTACCCAATACTGCTTAGAACTGATTGTGCAAATAGTAGATTTTGAGTTTGGAGCGAATTCAAAGTAAATAGTGATTTTGGTCAAATATTAGCTGCGTTTACATGAATGTGACTTCAGCGCATCGACTCCAATCGTCATTCGAATGAAGCCGACGTGGCAACGTTTACATGAATGTGCACCAAGCCCTACGTGAAGGTGGCGCCGTGCCGTGTCAAGGATTAAAGTTAAAGCTGCGTTCCCGGCACTTCCGGCACCGGCTGCACCACATGGCCACATTTTCCGGTGCATCGCACGTGTAAGCCTTTCGACGCTTTTGGCGAGCGTAAAGGTTGTGCCGGCTGTCTTCAATGCTGCTCAAGAAGTTACGAGACTGAAGAAACATCAAAACCCAAGCGTTTTGGGCTCTGGGTCGGGCCGCGGAGCCACTCTGGATAAGAGGTGACGTGCATGTGCACGGCCTGGCGGGCGAGAACGTTTCCAACTGCTCCGAAGACGCCACTGTGCTTGGCCTCGCCATATCTTGCCAACTGCAACCGGACCCCGAGGTCGAAAGACTTTGGCGCAGCCAGGAACGCCACCGAGGTAAAAGCTGCTCGTTCTGCACTACCATGCAGTGCTCGGAGCTCTCAGCCTCATTTGTGCTTGTGTTGGAGCCTCTAGGGACTCCCTCGGTCGCACAAGTCGTATTTCAAAAGGCTTGGAGGGGGTCACCCTCACCGAGCAGCTCAGCTATATTCTGCACGCGTTTCTTCTCGGGAGAAAACTGCGGGTGACCACACGGGATTGCTCTTCGCCGCCATGTTCTCAGCTGTTCATTCGGTCACGCAGCGATTGCCTTCCCATAATCCTCCCCATTTCAAAATCAATGCGATCTCCATTTACATGGGCTGAATGCATGCGCATTCGCCGTCTCGATCCACCTCTGTCTAGTGACTTGAATGCGATGCACTTTGTTAGCAAATAATGCCATTTACATGACTGCATTGAATGCAACAATTGGATTCAATGCAACTAAGTCGCATTCATGTAAACGCGGCTATTGAATTGTTTCTCCAAGCCTTTTACTACCGTGCACCATGCTTATACGAAAATTCTGCTGAGCTCGGGAAGCTTGTTACCAACGTTCCACTTGTCCCCTTCTAAGCTCAGCTAACTTTAACATAACTACTATGTATATTGCTGTGGCACATGAACAACAAATTTGTCACACTTATCCTAATATAAATTTCAAATCTTGCAACACAAAAGTACAAGCACAAATGATGAACACGGGTTATCAATACATCGCTGCCCAACATATACTCCAGCATAATTGCAGTGGGTTAGCCCTGTTGACTGCAGTTCTCACCAAGCACTTGTGCACTGCAGGGAAGCAACTCGCAGAGCCCACGAGCATTGCTTTTCCACAGTGCACAGGTGCTCGGTGACAAACGCACCCGACGGGCCTAAACCGCCACGATCAACACTTCGAAAAGTATAAATGTCGCAGTTCATCTCAAATCAAATATCAAATAGCATATTACTCGAAACTGCTATTCGAAGACTCAAATATCTGCACAATTCTACAGACTATTCCTTACAAAGCACAGTGAAACCAACATGGTACACAAAGTCGCGTTCATTAAAATACACACGAGTGATTTTCGAACTTGATTTGCCACATTTAACTAGAGCCATACCTTTATCAATATCCTCTCGTTTAGATAATAATAAAAATTGCACCCCATCCACCACGGCAGGTGTTGCTCTGGGGTAAAGCGCTGGATATTCTATTATCATTACCCAGCACTTTAGTATTGGGCTAGGGAAGAGTGCACAACTACCCAGAGCTTCGACACTTCAGTGCCAAAAATGTTTGCTTAGCACGACCACAAGCTTTGGTAAAGTGCTATACCACAAATATCACTACACCCAAGCCACACAACATGTGAAACAAGTTTTTCTGCATTACGCAAACAATGCATGAAGTGAGCTGACGAGCTGAGGAATGTGAACCATTCGCTCGGTCTCCTCTACCCGCGACATTACAAATGATGATGATAGCTAGAGAAGCGCCCCCTCTAGTTAGCGCACAGTGCCAACAGTGAAGTTCAAGATATTTTTTGTGCGTGACTGAGTTGTAGCCGAGAGAAGTGTGCTGCTTCTGGCGCTGTGCTCCCCCAACACTGATAAGTGGCATTTGTGACCAGATCATTCATTGAGCACGAGGCAGTTTTTGCAACTTTCCTACGAGTATGAGCATCTCTTCTGCTGCGGAAATTCCCCAAAGGTCATATTCAAAGAATTAGGCTCGCATAAAAGACAACAATGTCACAAGAATAATTATATGCATTGCCATATTAAACAGAACACCAGACCTCCAAACTGCAGCATGACTGAGAGTGAGAAATGTATCCTTGTTTATATTGCTGGAAATGTATTGTATGGATTGTTGTTTACATGTCAGTGGTGCATTGGCATATGATTACGTGAGATATAAAAAAACCTTTGCATGCAAAATGACGGCCATTTCGGCACACTGGCAAGGACATACCAATAGAAAAGGTGCAACTCACCGATCCAATCATGTGAACACCCAGTATCCTGTCTGTCTGCTTGTCGCCCAGTACTTTGACTACGCCGTCCGTCTCATTGTTCGTCTTGGCTCGGCTGTTGGCTGCCAACGGGAACTTGCCCACCTTGTACTCGACCCCCTGCAGGCATACCAGGGACACAAGGTTCCGGCTAGCTTGTACACTATATCTCAAGGGTGGCCAGGCTGACCCGGCCTAAGGGCCGCATACAAAGCCACGAAACTTCCAAGAGCCGCGGGGGGGGACTTCTGTTTAAAGCAATGAATGAAACTCGAACTATTTTCAAACTATCCGAGTCGAAAGCAGTCCAACTGTACGTGAGATAGCAGTAGCACAAGATTACCAAACGCAACCCGTCTTTTGATTTAATATGCGTTTCAGTTCCCTTCTTTGGCGAGGTGCTCGTGTGACCGGGAGGCAAGCGGGAGAGGGGGGGGGGGGGGGGGGGGGGGGGGGAGGGAGCTGCGAGCCGCAATTTGACACGCGAAGAGCCGCATCCAACTCGCGAGCCGCAGCTTGGCCACCCCTGCTATATCTTATAAGAACGCACTACACTCCTTTCACTTTATGCAGAAATGACAAAACTCGTCACAGGTATATCTCACAGGTATATATTTTATAAATTTCAGAAATAGATTTAAGCAATGTATTAGCAAACCCATTAATATTTTCATGATACAGGGTAATACATGACATGAAAATTAAGAAAAAAAAAGTTATTTTTGATATGAAATTTTTGTAGCCTACTTCACAACACACCAAATTTAATGATTTTCAAGACTATTAATTACAAAACAAATTATAAGATTGTCAAAATTTGCATCAGGTGACCAGGCATCAAGAGCAAAGAAATGCCAAATTGCCATTTACTTTAGTGACACTAGTGGATGTTTCTGGTGGAAACAAGTAAGTGTCTGCACCTATCTTTAGCACACACACAGCTGCATGCAACTTATGAGATGGTGCATAGATTCTACTAAGCCATTCTTACACCATTGTAACTTCAGTTCTTATACTCCAAGTCTTCCTTTCACCTTGCTTTCAAATGTTTAGTTTCTCAAATAAAAAGTGAAGATTTAAAGAACCACTGGAAAGAAAGAAAAAAGTTTATTTTTAACAGTCTGGTGGGGACACACATATCAAAAAATAAATTTTATGTGAAAAAAATAATAATTTTGGAGCAATATTGACAGCGGGAGAAGTGATTTAGTCGGTAGTCACCTCAATTCCACTTGTTTTCTCCCTCGGCATTTCGGGCACATGAGGGGAAGTGGAGAGAGTGTATGACCATCTCGCTAAGATGGAAAGAGTGTATGATCATTCTGTAATGTCATGGACTTTGCGAACAGAATTTAAAATAAATATTGCGCCGTCAATATTGCTCTGAAAAATATTTTGTCGCGTAAAATTCATTTCTTGACATGCGTGTCCCAACCAGACTGCTAAAAAAAAAACTGTTTTCTTTTTAGTGGTCCTTTAAAGGGTACTAAAAGTGGTTTCTGAGATCTAGTCTATTTATAGCCACAACTCAATCTACGGCTTCTATAAAAGCACTCTAAAAATGCTTGATTTATCTTTACCCCTCGGATAAAGTCAGTGCACACAGAATATGTTTTCGTGGCATTCTTCAAAGTTTCTGGTGGATATCGAAGTTATTTTTTTATAACACATTATTTTCTTTTAAGCTCCATCTTTTTTTTTTTATGTGATGGTGGAAACTGTTTGAACGCAAACGCCGAACGCAGTATGCCAGTGTCTGGTGTTTGCGTTCGAGCAGTTTGTAGACACCACCATGGTAGAGACAAAGCCAGCAAGTTTTGCATTTACTCACTATGTTACACAGTGGTAGAATGTCAGTCTCACAATCGTGGAGGCAGGGGTTTGATTCCTGTTGGGGTGCATTTAAAATTTTGTTTTTTTCTTCTCAATTTACCACTCTTTTTACAGATTGGCCTCTGAAGTGTGCATTAAACACTTCCTAACGAATTCCGTCACACTTTTCTTAGGGATCCTGAACCTTGAACACGTTCTGTATTAAAAGAAAAACTTGCAGGGAAACAGACTTATCAGTTCAATTAAATGCCCACCTGAGACTTCAGGTCTTCCTCAGACTTGCCAATCCAGGCCACCTCCGGATGGGTGTAGATGACAGAGGGAACGCAGTTGTAGTCAATGTGCACCGGGCCTCCTACTATGCCTTCGACGCACACAATGCCTGTTGAGGAAGAGAAGGCAGAAACGCTCTATTTCTCTTGCCCTTCCACAAACAAAAAAGAGAAACTAGGCAAGGAACTAAAGACCTGCCTTCATCTTCAGCCTTGTGTGCCAGCATTGGGCCTGGAACACAGTCGCCGATGGCATAGATGCTGGGAAAAAGAAGATTGTTTAGTTTGCATGCTGTAGTGCAATTGGTAGCGCCGGGTCAAACTTTCGTCCAACCCTTCAACTCGGTGCAGTCAATCTTTCGCCCAATTTTTTTATGAAATTCAGAAAATATACAGGCAGTAATTCCGTTTCATCTCTCGGTATTTTGTACAATGCAAATTAAAGTATGAAATGCAGCAGAATTGTAAATCTCCGATGCTACCGCTCTAAAAGTGACTTGTCCTGGCGAGGTGCACATATGTCCAGGAAACTGGCGCAAGTATACTTTTGCTTTCTTCGAGTCTCCCATTTCAACTGAACGAAGCCTGATAAACAAAAACAGACCTATCCTAGAGGAAAGCACATTTTGCAATTGAATTGAAGTTCACTGTGCATGTGTGTAGTATTTTATATGTCCAAATAGTTGTGCAATGCAAGCTGTAGAGTAGTATTTATCCTTGTCACAGCAGTGAAGATGGCCTGAATTCAGGACTGCCAGTACAAACTAGATTTGGTTTATTTTGCCATGCTTTCTCAGATAATGGTTGCTAGAGTAATGAAAATTTGGCACTTGACAACAACTCGGGTAAGCAAACTGCAAGGAAGTGCCGACCTCGTATTCAGATGGAGGTATCTGTTTTATTCATGGGCTACCTAAACAATTTAGAACCGAGCAAATTTTAGATTCCACGCAGACGTTAACAACCAGAATTATGCTTTTGCTTTGCTACCTGTGGGGAGGCACCATGAAGAAGTGCAGCCACCTACTTGGGCACTCCTGTCTGGAAGCGTGAGTTGACCAAGATGCGACCCCGCTCGTCCTTCTTGATGCCCATCTCTTCCAGACCAAGGTTCTCGGTGTAGGGCCTTCGGCCGACGCACACCAGTAGCACATCACAGTCCAGCTGAGGGAAAATGTTGCGTCAGAGCCAAGGTTATCGCCTAATGATACAAAAGAATTGTGATGATACACACTGGCTGTCTTCCAAATTTTACTCAACCTTACTCCAGGGTAAGGATTTTATACCTCGGGGTTTAAAACATACCAGCATCCAGCGTTTTTCAGTCTGTGTAGCTATGTGACACAACTCGCTGGAGTAACTCGGATTCATTTGAGTAAAGGCCCGTTCACACTCTTGCGACTGAGTACGACTGAGAGAGACGAGATCTCTTAAAACCTCTTAAATGTTTTCAGAATCAGGGAACACACTGGCATTGTGGCACCATCTATGCGGTGACCCTGGAACTGCATTTCACAAGAGCGAAGGTTTTGCGGGATTTTCGAGGTCAAATGTGCGTAATACCCATAGAAAGGCTCGTTTATAACATTGTCAAAAGTTTTTCGAGCCAAGAAAGAACGGATAATGCGCGAGAAATAAAAAAATATGCCGGACCGCCGAGTTTACACTGCTTCCCAATAGATGGCGCTAGTGTGTTCTCTGGTTTAAGAAGTTTTAAGGAACCCAGGTTTAAGAGGTCGCAAGAGTGTGAACGGGCCTTAAGGTTTGGAACACGGCCACTGAAAGCACAAGGTTCAATGAACGGAGGGAGAGCTGGTTCCGAGATGTGTACCAGATGACGGTAGGGGTCAACGACATCCAAAGCACTGTCTCAAGCCATTAGGGGGAGGTGTGTAAGATACGAAAGCCCATTCACACAGCAGCATCTGCTTGTTTTCTTACGTTACGTTAGGAGTTACCAGGACATCTGGGCCTCATATGTCGCATGCAAAGCTACCGCTTTAACAGGTTGCCTAGCTTCATATGAAGCATGGATGTCCTGGTAACTCGTGCCGTAGGCAGATCTAAGCACCCGTAACATAATGCAACGTAAGAAAGCGGTATTGTGTGAACAGGTCTTTCTTCTTTGAGGGCAGTGTGATCAGTGCTATGGAACAAAAAAAGGGGAAAGGAGGAGGTGTCCAGGCCACGGCCTGAGAAACTTGAGAATAATGGATACTCTGGGACAAAAGGATTGCAAAAGGACACTTGAAGGGACCATGAAATGACCTTTTTACTTTTGCCCAAATAACTTTTACATTAAACCTTCAATGTACATGAACGCCGAACAGGCATCCACTTTCGTTTCGGTTTAACTGCTACGCGAAAAATTATAGAAATATTGAGTTTTTCTTTCTCTCCAACTCACCGCATAACGAGCCGCGGAGTAATTTTGACAGTTGTGACGTGCTCTGACATCGGAACCAAAAGTTCTCTTGGCAGTAGGAGAATAAGAGCGTTAGAGGAGAGCTGGCGGTGTGCCGGTAGGTTTTACAATAGGATTTTACTGTGCTGATGGCACCGACATATTTCCGGAATCAGCGCCTCTCATCGCTGCGATAGCCATGGACACATCGCAGCTGGGCGAAATTCAATTAGATATGTTGCGCTACAGCGACAGCATGGGACTGGTCCCATACGCTGGTACGAAGCGCAGCAGGTCGTCTGCACGACTGCCGCTTCTCCGCTGCCGTCAGCCGTTTCTGCGGTATCTCTATAATGAAGGGGACGCGCAGTCACTCACTGACGTAGCAGAAAATGCACAGAGTTTCCTATGGGCTCAAGCTTTATTAACGTTTAATTTGTCAGGATAGGCTCGCAGGGTAGAGTGGATGAAAAAAAGAAAAGAAAAAGATGCAGTACGTCGTCTTTGCAATTGCGACTAGGGATGTCGCGAACCACCCTAGGTTCGATTTCGAAAGGTTTCGATATTTGCGAAGTGAACTGAGGTTCGATTTCGAAAAATTTCGATATTTTCGTACCGACCGAGGTTCGAATTCGAAAAATTCGCAACTTTTGACCACAGCGGAGTTTCGAATTCGAAAATTTCGAAGCTTTCACGGTTTCTCAAATTTCGAATTCGAATATTTCGAATATTTCTTTCCTTGAGGTTCGATAAATTCGAAGATTTCGAAATTCTTTGGAAAAAAATTCGAAAACTTCGAACACTTCGAATTTTTATAGACATGAAGTTCGAACAATTCGAAGATTTCGAATTTCTTTCTGCATAAAGTTCGAAAAGTTCGAAGGTTTCGATTCTCTTTTAACGCTAAATTAAAAAAAAAAAAAGAAAACTTTGAAGATTTTGAATTTCTTTCTAATCCAAGTTTTCAAAGTTCGAAGTCTGATTTTCAAGTTTTTCCACAGTTTCAGTTTCAAATAACGTTTTCACGACTCACTGGTTTTCACAAAATCAAGTTTAGAAAAGTTAGGGTGTGATATCTAGATTCTGCGAAGTTGCTCAGGCAATTGAATGAGACGACGAGTGTCCTGGACGTGCTAGAATATTTGCCAGTGCAGAATTGTGACCGCCAGCCCCGGGGGGGTCTTTAACCTGCATCACGCAGTAGTGATCACACGAACACACTGTTTTACGAGACTCATCCAGTTCGAAACGGCCAGGGGTGAGCAGGAGGTTGAGGCTCAGAAAAACCTTGAAGCGACCTGGTAAACTACCTCGCCACCCCTTGCACGCTGGTAGTAATCCGATCCGGTGAAGTTTGTAATTGTCCTGGAGGTTTATTTTCTGGGAGGGAGGAATTGCCTCGCAAAAAGCACAAAAGCCGACACAACTCGAGGTCGAGGAGCGTTCTACCATACAAGTGGCGTCGGAAGAGGAAAAACGGGGGGAAAGAGGGTAGCGGGGGGAAGGGGGGCTTCAGCCTCTTTCTCCCCCTTGCAGGTATTTCGGACTGTTAAAGAAAACAATACGGGGAAAGACGGCGTGGTCGAGCTTATTTTAATCTGAAATTATTTATGCATATGTATAGCTACTGTCGCTCTTCACTGCATAAAAGGTTGCGTAGATGGTCATGGTTAGAAACTCGTTGTCAGAAGGCACTACTCGTCACATGCTCAGTGGTTCGGAAGTTCAAAGCTGTCTTTTCGACCTAAATACCTGTGCCGATAGTAAGAAAAAAAAAAAAAAGCGGAAATAAAAAGCAGGAGGAAAAAAAAACTATCAAGAATTCGTCAGAAGTGTTCTATTCTTGCATATTCAGAGGTTCAGAACTTCGAAACAAGTTTCTTTTACCAAAATGCGTACAGGCTAAAAGAAACACGTCCCAGGAACGTGAAGTGAAAAAAGAAAGCTTTCTTTTAATGACGTGCTGAACTTGAGCACTATTAGAAATCTTCTCCCATGAGTTAATTTATTCCTTTACGTGAAAAAACAATAAATATAATATTTTGTATTGTGCAGATAGCAATGATATGTACTGTCTGTGGTGTTAATTTAAATGCGATACCTCAAACAACTTAGACGAAAATAAATATCAAGTTAGGTCATAATTGCATGCAGATACATGTTTGACATTTCTTCGAAACTCACGTTGAATAACAATAATCACATCTTAAGACGGCACTTACCTAGGCTATACATAGATCATTCTTAAAAAAAGTGTAACATATCTACCATAAATAGCTCCGGCTGCAGCGTGCTTCAAATCTGGCACAAACGATAATCGTCAAAAACCCGTCGTCCTTCCTCGCCCCTTCGTGGATTTATTTCTTTAAACCTAAGCATGCCAGAACATTGAAATAAACGACATTGTTTTTCGTAAGGAACGCAGCACCGCGTGCAAAAGTTCGAGAAAAAAAAATTACGAATGTACCCCACTACTTGAAATCAAATGAAACCGTCTGCCGGTCTTTCGAAGTTCGACGAACGTCGAACTTTTACCCTAAAAGTTCGAAGTTCGTCGAACTTCTGACTTTTCAGAATTCGAAAGTTCGAAACTTTTCGAATTCTCTTGATAAATAAGTTCGAAAGTTCGAAATTCATCGATTTTTTGGTCAGTCAAGTTCGAAAGTTCGACAAGCATCGAACCTTGCAGCGCAATAAGTTCGAAAGTTCGAAAAAGATCGAATTTTTTAGCGTAATAAGTTCGACGGTTCGAAAAGCGTCAAACTTCTTAGCCTAACAAGTTCGAAAATTCGACCTCCGTCGAATTTTACGATATAGACAATTCGAAAAATTGAAATCTTTCAAACCTTTCGAACCGCTTGATTCGATCATCGAAACTTCGATTCGAAAAAAGTTCGCGGCATCCCTAATTGCGACTTTAAAGTGATACTGAAGCGAAACTTGAAATACACCTATTATGGTCAGAAATAGGTTCAATATGATCAATGATATTCATAAATCATAATCGCGCGTTTGTATTTTGAACGGATGGCTATATTTTTCACCCTGATGGGCCCGATTGGGCGCGCGCTCAAAAATCGGCCATCGGAGAGCGCGATGCGTCTTGGGATATTGGGCGCATTCGTGACGTCACTTGTGCCGGTCGGGAAAGGCTACGGCGTGAATGTTGTGGTTACGAGCGTTGCCACTTGGTGGCGCGTCGACGATTTACGACCTGTGACAACGTGGCCGTTTGAGATGTGCAAGGGCTGCACGCACGCTGCACCACGGGACCACGGCAAGTCGGCAACCACGGCAGCACTGACAAAACCAGCTCCGAGGCCAGGGGGGCTATGTTGCGCTTTTTGCACTCCCAGGAGACTAGGGAGAGGGAAGTGACGTCAACAACGCAGCAAATGCAGATTGGATGTTGATTTTGTTTTCTTCTGTCAACATCCAATCTGCATTTGCTCTAGTCGTTGACGTCACTTCCCTCTTCCAAGTCTCCTGGGAGTCCAAAAAGCGCAACATAGCACCCCAGATTCTCAAAGCGAATTCACGACGAAAAAAGTGCGTACGACAAATTTGAGAGAAAACCCGTGCTCTTGAAACGAAATTGTCGTAACCTTTGCGCAGGTTACGACAGAATCCTACGACAGCTCCGAAGCTGTCTTACGCACTTTTTACGATCAAATCAACAAGGCCGACAGCGTCGCTCAGTTACTTGGTATCGGCCACCAACGGACATTTATTTTTCTTCGTGCTCTTCTCGTGCGTCCCGACTTCAACCAGCAAGAAAAAAGGAAGGAGTACTTAAAACAGACCACGACGATCAAGAACGCAGGATCCACAAACACACGAGAAGAGCTACAACAGCCACGATTCTGCCGACCGAGCGAGCTCGGCAGAATATAGTAGGCCTAGCAGCAACATCGACTCGGCGCACCGTTGCTCCGGCGGTCCTTGGCCAAGACCGTCTGTCCATGACCGGCTGGCCTGCTGAATGGAATATGCCCACGCGACCCTTGTGGACCCTCACCGGATGAGTAGTTTGATCCCTGAACTAAATTTCAGTGGTCAATATTTTCCCCGTGTCATCTCGATCTCCTTGTTTTCCGAGACAGCGGTGACGAACGCTGTCGTCGAAAAGGGACTCTCATTGATTCTATCTCCTTGTTTTGTGTGATATAGAACTCAAATAAACGCCATACGGATTACCTTGGCAACTCGGTATGTACACTCTGTTATTAGTATGCCATTTTTATTCTGACTCGACGCTACGTCAGTGTCGAGCTATAGCAGTTCGTGGGAGCTACGCGATGTCGGTCTAACCTTTCTTTGCCGAGTGTCATGTCAGTATCGAGTTGCAATCGTAAAAGATCGGTCCAGAAGCGCTTACCGAAATGCGGTCTAACAGAGCGAATCCAGCACTTCGATCAAACGCGCTTGTCCGCTCCGAGTGTGAACAGGTATTTGGCATTTGCGTGGCCCTTGCTGACACCCTCGTAGTTCAAACATATCCTTTTTAACGTCGGCTTGCAGCTCGCGACTCGCAGCAACTAATACCGGCCGTGCCAGAAGCATGCTCGGGCCGTGTCGTGCAAAGAGCCGCAACGAGAACGAGCTCACTGTGGCCAACTACGCTTTGGCTTTCTCCGCCAAGGCTTTGCAAACGCGTTCAGGCCTAGGCGAATCCTGCCGGCACGCCGTATTGCCGCAGAACGGCGCTGCTATTTTGGCACAAGTGATGTCACGAGAACTTCCCCCCATCCACCAGATGAGAATTTGAAATCGTTTAATTATGTTTAAAATTAGTTCTCCTGTGTTTTACAGCGCAATATTTATATTTCTGAGGTGGTGCGTGTCCCTAGCCCATATTTATGCAACAAGATCGGCGCTAAAATTTCGTTTCACTACCCCTTTAAAACACAACTTTAAGGATAGTACAAATCTCGCCACACGCCTTTTCTATGATTTAAAAGACAATGTAATTTTAGCAGAGATATAGCAACGTAGAAATATGATTTCGTGATCACATAGACATTGCAGTCATTCAAGGAAAGCTAACACTAATCACTTTTGTCAGGTGATGGAAACGCTTCAAAATTCGCATCCTTCATACATGCCTTTAAACACAGTACGCACCAGTAATATCTTGAACTTGATCACACGTATGGAATGTGCAACATAAAAGATCCATGCGATGTTCGAGGAGACAAATGCTAAAAAAGTACCACAGTAGTCGAAGTAAACAAAGACGACGGCACGAGCGTTTCTGCTGTCTTGAGGGTGCCGCCACAACATCGCCGCACGAGTAGATGGATCTTCCCTTCTAGAACGTGTTGGGTTATCATCACGACACGCGACGAAAATTCAGTCAAGGATAGCGCTCTACGCGGAACGATAAGCTTCCACCACGCCGACCATCTCCACCGACGCCATGCTTTTCAGCAGGCAGGCGGCTATGCGCAGGCGCAGTCTGATCTTTCTCTTGCTTTGTATACCACACGATAGATGACGCATAGCTCCGAGCATTATAAAATTCGGCAATTTCCGTCACATTGATAATTATTCAACAAAATGTGGATCAGAATATTCTTTAACAAAACTTTTAAGAAACATTCGCCGGCTATTTATTGTTTATGACCGTGGTGCTGGTGAGGTAGGCTCTGATCCATTAGGCTATCGGGATTCGGCTGACGCGCTGTGGCACCGCGGATGCACCACAGTGAAAAGGTGGAGAGTTTTCGGGGGAAAGAAAATATAAAAGAGTCCATTTTTTTTTTTTTTTTTTGGCTCTCTACTTTTGCGTTTTGGTTGTTGTTTTTTTCACATCTTTTATGATGTGCGGTAGATAAAATTCGATTTCAAAATCGTTTCATGGTCCCTTTAAGACTGCTTACATGTAGGAAAGTGAAAGCATTATATTCTCGCGAGTGAAATATTTTCAAGTAATGTTTCTTCACGTATTAAAGTTTAGGAGGACGTATAGGACGACGTCACAAAGATTGACGTCAAGTACGACGTCTAGGACGATCTCTATGACGATGTCAAGGACGGCGTCAAGGACGACGCTGGGGACGACCTTTCGGACGACGCCAAGAAAGACATCCAAGCCGACCTCTAGGACGACCTCAAGGACGATGTCCAGAACGATGCCTAGAGGACACCCTCAAGGACGATGCCAAGCACGGCGTCGTCCTTCAGCATAGGATTGAGCGGCACGTGCTTGATGACAAATTTTTATGGCCATCTTTAGGGCACGTCGCCGCTGTGTTTTTGCAAAAATGGGTCAAGGAAGGCTTTCGCCTTAAAATTCTGCTGTGGACATTATGGCATAAAATGTGACATGGCTACCACATCTCAACCAGTGGGCTCAATTTTTTTTTTCTTTTTTTCTCCAGTACCTTCAGGATTGGTGGCACAACAGAAAGGAAGGAAAATATATAGCAAGAGACATACCGTAAAATACCGGGGAAGCACCCATCCCACTTTCATGGAAAACTGGGTTAATCTAGACACGGGCGCTTGTCCAGTCAAATGGTTAAAACCAAGATGGCGGCCAATAAAGAGCTTTAAAGGCAAGGTGAACAGAATCGGAGAAGCACATTGATTTTAACACGATACGCCCGTCATGGCTGCTGGCGGTCTTGTGGATGCTGCAACTGGGTGAATATTTTCTGCTGATGACAGCGCTTTGGAGTAAGTGGGAGCTGAACGTGTAATTTGCAGAATTCCCAAGCTTGGGAAATGTTAACAGTAGGCGCTTCCGCGGTTATTTTACTGTAATAAACACGAGATTAATCTAGGTTTTCTACTGTAGCTGAATCCTTACAGAGACTAAATTTGTTATAAAAATTTCCAAAACATTGGCCCTCCAAAGTGTCGTACCCCAGCAGTTTCAGCATCTTTACTTTTAAGTCCTACAGAGTGTAATACCTGTCCAACATCATGACATTCCAGTATATACACACCAAATGTGCGAGGCACTCTCGAGTTTACAGTACTGCAACCACTTTGGGCATTCGTGTGTCTCGGTTCGATGTCCAGAGCCAAGTCCCCAGAATTAATTCCAGCACAATAGCACACTTAGACATTCTCTGCTCCTCGCACCTGCTCCTTCTTGGAGGAGTCCTTGACGTCCTCCAGGTTGACAGTGATGCTGCCCCCGGAGCGGGTGGCCCCAGTGACCTTGGTGGCCAGCTTGAACTTGAGCCCCTGCTTGGTCAGGATACGCTGGAAGTTCTTGGAGATCTCCATGTCGATGCCCATGCCGCCCACGTGGCCCAGGAACTCCACCGCCGTCACCTGAGCCCCCAGGCGGGACCACACAGAGCCCTGGAGGGTAGGACACCAGGCATGACCCAAGGAAAAGAGAAATCACCCAACTGTCCACCTTTATCGTAACATATCAAGAGGATATTCCCTATTTACAACCAGCTTTGCTACGCTCAACCTACGTCGGAGAGAAGAGCCTCCACTAAGCATCTGTTTTTATCATAAAATGTTAAAAGACGGTCCCTTGTTTACAATTAACTGTTATGTTGGACTGAAGATTCAACATAGTTAATTAATAAATAAATAAATAAATAATTTATTTTACAATAAATGCCGTCGGAGACTGATATAGGCTACAGGGGCAAGAAGTCGGAATGTTGACCTGATGAGAGCCTTACAAATGACAGATGGCGACCAGCCAACCGAAAAATAAAAACCAAACACGTATACGAGTACAGTTAAACCTCGATGTAACGAAGTCGGTAAAATTCGCAATTTACTTCGTTACATTGAAATTTCGCTAAATCGAAATTTGGCTTTAGCATGCGAAAAAAAAAAATTCCGAAACATTTTACGGGTATGAAAACTCACCGAAAATGACGTTTATTTAGGGGCAAAGTAGTCTGCGAGTTTTGCTTGCGCCTTGTCCGATAGTAGCAGCGGCGTCATACGGCGTTCGAGCGCCCAGAGCGCTTACACGGCATCTTGCTGCCCATGTGACGCCGTGTACCTCCTCAGTACGTCCATTGCGTCGAGCACTTCCCAAGTGCTCGTGATCTCGGCAGTTTCTTCAGGATGGCGTCCAAAACGTTTGCTTTCTCATCCAAAGAAAGAACTTTACGTTTCCTTATGGCAGCAAGCCCGTGAGTGAACCGCCCGGTTAAAAAATAAAGCTGTTTAGTTTAGGCAGTTTAGGCGGTGCCAATGTTTCCAACCTACACAGCACTCTTGACCGCACAGTTTACTTGCCCCCTTGCGCCCACAGTGTGCTTGCGCCTTTGCTTTACATCACGCTCGCAAGACGATAATCGGTCTTCTCGGTCTTCTCCTAGATGGCACTGCCCGTGCGGTCGCGCGGTGCGCGGTCGCGGTTCACGTCGCTCCCCCGCTGAAGTTGGCTCCCGCGCTACCCGCGGTACAGTGGACTATGATGATCAGTGAATGTCAGTGGTGATGCTGTTATGCCGTGTAAACTTTTTGCTCGGCATTTTCTGGCCAGCCCCGCGGAATCCGCTTTGCCGCATGCCTCGCCGGCGCTACCGGCGCCGCATCCTCGGGCAGCCTAGGAACGTTGGAAGGCCTGTCCCCATGAAGTAACCTATCAAGCGCTCGCGTTTGCGCGTAATTTTTTTTTTAACCACAATTTTTTTGCGAAGTTGTTTTTTAGAGTTGATTTATTTATTGCCTTCTATGGCAATGGCGCTTCATTATATTGAAATAGCAGCAAAATCGACTTCGTTATATAGAGACCAAAAATACATGGGGTCTATGGGCAAGAAATTATGAAAAATAAAATACTTCGTTAAATCGAGGATTTCGTTACATTGAAGTTCGTTATATCGAGGTTCGACTGTATTACATATTGAGTGTCAAGAATTACAATTAACTGGCCTATAAATTTTAGCAAACAAACCAAAAAAAAAAGAAACAACGTCAGGTAACCGCTTTAGTACCGAAAGAAGAATTGGATGTACACTACCAGCATTACGCAGATAGTATTTGTTTTAATGAGAAAATAACAAAATATATGGACAGACTGAAAGTGTGAGCAACAAATATAAAATCTTATCAACACTTGACTTCAATATACAAGCAGAATTTCAATGCAGACAATTATGTCTAAACATTCAAATCCCCTCAAGGTCCCCAAGGTTTATCAAGATTACTGTAGTTAGTTGTTCAATATGCAAAGCTTTGTAAGTCTTCGAGACTTTTCATTGCCCGATTCACAGCTTCATATATAAAGATTGCGGTCGAGTGTTTTACGTGCTAACGTCCGACAAAATAGGCTGATCTGTAGAAGATTTTGTAAGCATCAAAATGCAGCCCATTACTTTGTACGAAGAAATACAAGCATACCCAGTGAAGACGAAGCTTTCATTCAAAGCTGCGGCACATTTGCGACTCCAACAAAACGGACAGCACCTAGCAGGAAAACACTGAACTGGCAGGAATAGGTCCTTTCGCGAGTTCTGCTCGTCTCTTGTGGCTTCCACGATTGCACGTTGTCGGCAGTTGGTGTGATGGTAATTAAAGTAAAACAAGGCAGTAGCGTCAGAACAAGCAACAGCAATTGGGGAGGAGGACAGACCGTTACGCCCCAAGTGGTTAACTTATCAACCACACGGATGGGGACAACAAATACAATGACGCAGCGCTCAGCCGACATAACCGAACGCGGCGTCAGCGTTCGACTGGAGTTCGTGTTCTCCGGCGAGGGGGAGGAGGGGCTCTTTTGTTTCCACGACGGCCTGCATGAACAATGCAGCATGCACGATCCCAGCTTAGCACAAAAGCCGAAGTGGGTCAAGCTCACATTCTCAGAAGATCGATCCGGCACTTAACGTCGCTTCGTCGATTGTTAGTATTTTTTACATTAAACTGTGCCCCGCGCTCTATTGTAGAAGATGACATGGCCATGCCAATAAGGCCTGTTGGCATGTGTACAGGCCTTGTGTTGAGTAAACACCGAGCGTGGGGAAAACAAACGGGTCAGAGCGCCCCCTATAGTTCGATCTCCTGCCCAATCGCTGCTGCCGCCGCCGCTGCTGCCCCCCCTCCCCCTCCACCCCTCCCAGATATTTCTGAAATTTTATGGAAACAATACGGCGGAAGGGGCAGGAGGGAAATCACTTTTGCCCCCCCAACACCAGCAATGTCGACCCCCCCCCCCCCCCCCCCCCCTCGATCTCCTGAATAGTTATGACGCCTCTGAAGCGAGGGGAATTAGGTTGGTTACATGTCGATAGCAATGAAAACGGCAGCAACAACAGGGCCACAAGGATGACCGTGACTCAAAATTGCCTAAATAATTAGGTGTGCCTTGCACTGCTTTGCACGTTGTATAGTGTGAACAGTTTTTCGGGTGACTCTGTCGTTACTCTCATATCCGCCCATTGTTTAGGTCGCTCTGGACGCGACCTACGTATTGCACGAACCGGAGATTGTGCACTTATTGACGTTCATCGGCGTGGTAGAAGGACATTTGGTAGTCCTTCCATCACTTTCCTGAGAAGAATAGCCTCTGGACGCTCATTTGCGCCAACACACCTCCGCAGGTTCCGAACGTAACGAATAATAATCAGGGCAAACCGTTTTGAAGCCAATGCTCGACTGCTCAAACCTCGACGTCGTGCACTGCGTTGGCACGTAGCGTGCACGACCTGTTTTCGGCTGCCGTATTTGTCGAGGGCGACGACCTCTATTGGTCTCCAGAATCACAAACGGATGATTTGTATGACGGTGAATTAGCTGGATGGTTGCAGAATTACATAAGTTGCAGAAAATGTTTCCTACCAGCTCTAGGCCAATAACTCCAGCGCCGATTACTATCATCTTCTGTGGTACTCGCTTGAGGCTTAGTGCGCCCGTGGAGCTTACTACTGTCTCCTCGTCAACCTGCAGAAAAAAACAACAACATAGGTGTTAGCTTTGAATACAAAATTATGTTTCCACCAAAGCACTAACGTAACATCTTGAAAGATGGCCCACCTAAAATCGAAAGCAAATCAGCAGAAAATCAAGAAAAGTAGAAGAAATGCTATTTATAGATCACAATTTCCTTCAAAACTTGTTATCGCGGCAAGGGACAGTGAAGCAAGGATGACTGTACTTCCCAGTCAGCAATGCGGCTAGTCGGCATAGCTAACTAGCCGCATTTACGTCGAGGTCATCAATGATCTAAACTAGGGATCTCAAACATGCGGCCCGCGGGCCGCATGCGGCCCTCGACTCGCTGGGACGTGGCCCGCAAGCAACCGGCTAATGGTCCTGGTTCCCCTGTCTCGATTGCTAGAAATGGCATGTGCCATATTGATCTCATCTCGCCGATTCATTTCCGCTCGAAAAGAATAGCTCTGCTCTTTTACGTATTCACATAGTCTATACTTATCCATGTTCATTTGTCTTTTGTTTTGCTTTATTTTATGCCCTGCTTTCTTTCATGTTAAACACCTGTACAACAATTCTGCTACTAGGGTGTAAGCGCCAGCTCTTTGTTGAAGGATGCATGTCGGCTGCGCAAACTCTCAATCAGCAGGAGCAACTGCCAAAGATAAAGCTACAGGGTGATTTCAGATAAGATCGACCAAAGGGTGGCTGGTCGACATTTTTAAATCAACTGATGTTTTTATATGACATTGTCTAATATCTGGTATAAACGAATCCACACTTAGTTTTGACCAGAAAAAAAATTTGGAGACAAGAAAAATCGTAAGGCAGGGAGAGGTGGACAGTTGCAATAACGCGCACTGATGGAGGGGGCAAGTTTGAAAGTGAATAATTAAAACAATAAAATTAGGAGAATTTTAAAACTTTTTACAAACAAACTATGGGTACAACTTGCTTGTAATATAAAGTAATAATATTTATTAAAAATTTATTTAGTTTTCTAAAAATTGCCAAACATGCCTGCTCGAACGACAAATGGCAAACTTTGGAAATCTGTATCTCATGAAATAATTTAATCATTATTACATAACTTGCAGACATTATTTTACTAATATATGGCTATTATTGAAAAAATAAATAAGGTATCTGAGTGACACAATAGTTACAATATATTTAGGCAAACATGGGAAAAAAATCAAACAAAGAAAAATTCCAATGCGAATAAAAAAAAAAACACCACCCTCGATTTTTTTTAAATTTAGATAACCTGTTATACTCTATTTCAGCATTCATTTCCATTAAAAACATGTTGCATCATTTTATTGAGAAAGAAGATACAACTCCCCAAAGTAGGGTCCTTTTTCAAAGCCTACACTTAGCAGTGTCCTATACAAGAAGTGACTCTGAGTTCCAGTTTCATGAAACTTGCACAAATCTTTTATATACATTTATTCAGATGAGGTCATTGATAAAAAGAGCGACCGGTCACACAGTAAAAGGGAGGAGAAACTATATACAGCATTTTACATAAGCGTACAAAGTGGTATCATATTAGAGACTAATGATTTGAGAAAAGATGATGCAGTGTGAAGTTGTACCTTCTGGTATATTTTACATCTAGAGTAAAATAAATAACTTTACTTCCACACACAAAAACAAAGATATAATAGTAAGATATTTAGGTTAACTGTGTACTTACGATTACAAACAATTTCAGGTGACGGATGCCATAGTGCCTAACTGGAGCAGCTTCGATGCTCTCGGTGTATGAATGAATCGTGGCAAGCCGATATATTTTATCCTGCTCGAGGATAACATTTTGGGATTTTTTTTATAGTGATCAGATAAAAATTATTAGTAACCACCAACAAAAACAGTAGGTTAAATACCCCGTGAAGAAAAATGTGATAAATAAGATGTCCCTGCATTCAAAATGAGCAGTCCTTGGGAAATCAAATTCGGCACTTTACGCTAAGGTTTTCCTCGCTGTACCCATTTAATAAAGTTGCTTCCAAGCAGATCCGACTGTCCGTGCTACATATACGTCACAGGTCCCTTCTGTTGATGACTTGCTGAGCCGCCACGCGTGCCAAGACTGAATGCCAGGGAAGGCGCGCACCGTCAGCCACTCTTCTTTTTTTTCTTCACGATACCGAACAACCTCATTTTCGTCCAGATATACAAGATGCACGCCTTTCAGTTTCTTTGATAGAACGCTCACCATTGTCCTGGCCGTCTGAATTGCGCTTACTGAACGTTCTCTCAGGTTGTTCAGCGTGGCCTGGTGCTTCACGAGTCCGCCAACTCCGTCACATGCATTTTTCCCCATGTCCAGATGCAGAAAATAACCACTGGGCTTGTGGGCAATCGTCCTTTGCAAATTGGTGAAGCTGGTAGCGATTCTTGAAATGACTGGCAGCGCCGTCACTTACGTACGTCACGTACGAGTATACCGCAACGTTGTCTTCAACCCACTCCTTCACTTTTTCTAGAGCCAAGCAAGCGTGAGCGGCGTCGTGACACAGGTCCTCACTGATGATGGCAAAGCTGTTTGTAGATTTTCTTGTCGTCACTACACATGTAAATATCGAAACTTGTTTTTTTTTCCAGCGATATGCTTGCACTTCGTCAGGAAGCACGATGGTCCAGTTTTCAGCAAAGTCAAAATGAAAGACAATGCTCCCGCGTTGCATGCACTGTTTTTCATCGTAGATCGCTTTACCTTGCGTTTGCCGGATATGGTTGTGAAGTACCCAACTTCCAACCGTCACTTGGATGACTTTTAGGAAAGTCTCAGGTTCCAAAGTTTTTTTCACAAGGTCGCCGGACTCCCATGTTGCAAGCACAATCTCTTCATCCTCCGGGATATCAAGTTCCTGGAGTGTAAGAAACTGGCCTTTTGGGCAGTGATCACAGTCTCCTTGAAGGCACAGTTCTGTTGCTGGGTCGCACAGAAATGCCGAGTTCATTTCACCAGTGTTGAATGTTGAGCCTGTAACGTTCTCTAGAGCGGCAATACAAAGATAATATTTGGCGCAGCGCACACAAACGCACACTTCCTGGTGTGGAATACATTGGACCCATCTAGGGCGCAACGAATAAAATTTCGTTAGCCCAACGCCGGAATCGGGATGCTTGTCTTTGTATATACGGAAGGCCTCTCGTATTGAGCGTGTCATGAAGCGCTTTGGCACGAACGTTTTCTCTCCGTTGAGCATGACAGAGATGACGTCCTTCTGGTTGGGACTTTGGTGCGAACATTGTAGCTCGTCTTTCGTGAAGTACTCTAGGGCAGCAGACAGGTTCTCAGGGCTCACCTTGCACCTCGTGTAAGGATCCGGCTCATACCACACGCCATGCTTTTCCTTGAGTTTTCGGGATTTACTGATGAGGTACATTGAGGCCTGTGGAATCATCTTTTGAACCTCATTCTTCGTCAGTGTTGACCGCAGGAGTGTAAGCAGTTGACAACGTTCCCGGAGAGAGGTGGCGGTTTCAAAGGCCTGCCGAAAGTTGTCCACCCATGCACTCAGTGCATGTGGAGCATGTTGGTTCGGACGACCCCGATGGTGCGTCCCTGTCGTACGCAATACGTAGCCTTGAGCGTATATTCTTGACAGCAACCTGCTCCAGTTCTGTCTGCTTTCTCTTGACATAGGCAGGCCTGTCCCGACTTCTTACGACGCTTGGTTGTCTCAGCGGCGACACATCTGTAGGTAGTATGCTGCGATTTAGATCTTCAATTGCTTCTTCAGCTGGCACAAATATGTCAGGGCACTGCTCTGAGCTTCGCATCGAGATCTCCTTAGTGATGTGCATGAAGCAATGGTAGCACAGGTAGTCCGTCGCACTCACTTTGGTGGAACAGTCAGGCGGAAGAATTTGCTTCAACGAGTTTAGGTCCAACTCGCCAACACTTCGAAAATTCCGCTGCTTTGGTATAGTCTTTTTGTGTTTGCAAAAGTAATCTGCACAAAACAGTCGTTCGGAGCTCCAGGACGTCTTCATAATGTATACATAAATAATAGAAATTAAACCCCAACTGATGGCATATAATTGCCAAGTGAAAGAACTACTGGGTGCACAAGTGACAAGTATGAGGCTGAGGAGCTCACTCACTGCAAACGTACATTTGAAAAGAGAGGTCACAACTGAGGCTGTCGGCAAAGCTTGATCCACGTCAAAGGAAGAAAGAGGGAAAGTCTCCAGACAAAAAATTGTGGTCAGCGGCCTTCGAAAAAGACTTTCCGGAATCGCACTGTCGTCCCTCCACGCGCTGATATGAAAGCACCCGAGCTTCTACCACGTGGTTCATGACACAGCCTGAGCCATGTCGGCGACCGGTTCGCGAGGGGTTGGCGGTGGGGTTACGTTGATGGTCACTCGGATTAGCCCTTGCTGTACTGAGCTACCGCCTGCAGTGCCTTATCGCCGGCTGGTGTCAACAACGAGAACACACACACCCTGTCTACACCAAAACTACAAGCGTTCACCGCACACGCGTCGCCGCCGCTTTTAAGCTTTTGTGAAATTGCTTTCTTTTGCCGCGGAGAACCGCCTTATCTTAACTACGCGCCTGAAATCCTTCCAGGCGGGCGTACACAATATCAAGCGTTTCGAGAAATGCCCGTGGAGTAGAACTATGGGAAAATTCGGAGCCCGCGATGTCGATATCGTCGCCGTTGTGTTAGTACGCCGTCGCGTACTGCAGTCCCCCGTTGGGGGAGGGGGGGGGGGGGGGGCGGTCTTACTACGATAACATGGCGACAGCGTTTACACTCTATGTATTTACGCGAGGCTCGAGTATTTGGGGATAATGCTGCCGGTTGGTGTGCCCCTTTGTGCCTGATATTATCGCCCGTGACGCCAGCGAGTGAGATGGCGACAGGCATGACTGCTCAGTAAACAGGCGTCGGCGGCCATGTTTTGCTGGTTGAAGCTAACCCCCTTGTCCTTGACAGCGAGCGGGGAAATGCGAAAAAAAAATTGTATCGGCCGTTTTGCCAGAACTAGCAACGAGTGTCGTCTGCGGTTTCCGGCAACTATTTTGCCATAATCGTGAGCTTAGCGAGGAAATGATTTTTGCTAGCCACAGAACACTACCACGCAGAAAGGGAATGCTTGAACATGTTTTTGTTCTGGATATATATCAGGGATATATATGAGAGAGAGAGAGAGAGATGAAGGTAGAGCGGAAGAGGGAATAGCATATAGTGTCGCAGGAGAATAAAGTAAACAAAGTTCCTAGTGGCCGATGGCTGCATGATCTTTTCTCGGATCACTAGTCCGTAATATGATACCTCTTTGTACACAGTAGTTTCTCCTTAATTTAAGTGTGTGAACGATTTCTTTAGTTATCATTGGCCTCATCTGAATAAAAATATATAAAAGATGTGTGTTGGTTTCATGAAACTGGAACTCAGAGTCAGTTCTTGTATAAAACACTGCTAAGTGTAGGCTTTGAAAAAGGACCCTACTTTGGGGAGTTGTATCTTCTTTCTCAATAAAATGATGCAACATGTTTTTAATGGAAATGAATGCCGAAATAGAGTATAACAGGTTACCTAAATTTAAAAAAAATCGAGGGTGGTTTTTTTTTTTTTATTCGCATCGGAATTTTTCTTTGTTTGATTTTTTTTTCCATGTTTGACTAAATATATCCTAACTATTGTATCACACAGATACCTTAGTTATTTTTTAAATATTAGCTATATATTAGTAGAATAATATCTGCAAATTATATCATAATGATTAAATTATTTCATGAGATACAGACCTCCAAAGTTTGCCATTTGTCGTTCGAGCAGGCATGTTTGTCAATTTTTAGAAAAATAAATAAATTTTAAATAAATATGATTACTTTATATTACAAGCAAGCTATACCCATAGTTTGCGCCTAAAACGTATTAGAGTTCTCCTAATGTTATCGCTTTAGTTATTCACTCTCAAACGGGCCCCCTCCATCAGTGCGCGTTAATGCAACTGTCCACCACCTCATGCCTTACGATTTTTCCTGTCCCCAAGTATTTTTTCTAGTCAAAACTAAGTTTGGATTCGTTCATACCAGACACTAGACAATAAAATATAAAAACATCAGTTGATTTGAAAATGTCGACTAGCCATCCTTTGGTCGATCTTATCTGAAATCACCCAACAAGCTCGAGATCTTCGCCTTCACAAAAATATCATTATTTAAAGACAAGTCTTTTTTCAGTGTTGGAATAAAGATCACCAGGAAAGCAAGAACTGTAAAATTAGCTGATTGTTTTTTAGAGACATGTTCAGCTGGGTTACTTCCTGAGTATATTGAGCAACGGGAACAACAGTGTACTTCCTCTCTAGTTCCACTAAAAGGCGGGGTCATTTTAATTATTCAATATCACAATCAAGGCCGGGGCGAAAAGCAGTTGTATTTACTCGCACAATGAACGCACTCGCGTAATGAACGCACTCCAAAAGTCGGCTCTCAAAATTTTGACTCTTTTTTTTTCACTCGCGTAATAAACGCACCCCCAACTCGGACGTCAAAATTTTGACCCCTCGCGAAATGAACGCACTTTTCTATCCTGGTGCAGCGAGGTCGCGAATGCATGGGCAGCACGGCGGGAAAAAACGCCTTGCAAAAGGCGTTAAAATATCCGCAAAGATCCAACGGAAGCAAGAAAAAAACAAAACATGGAAAGTAGTTTTTTTTCTTTTTTTTTTGCACAGCGCAGTTTGGATTTTGGGTTCGCGCGCCGCCGCGCGCAAGGAGGAAGAGAAGCGCTCTAAGCGAACGAAACAGCTTGCGAAAGGCGGCAAAAAGAAAAGAAAAAACAAAAAAACACAGAACTAAGAAAAAACAAAAAAAAGCTTTTTTTTTTTTCTTTTTTTTTTTGCACAGCGCAGTTTGGTTACTGGGGGTCGCGCGCCGCGCGCAAGGAGGTTAGGGAGGCTGTAGTGAGGGTGGGCGCAACTCAAAACCTGGGGAGCGTTTGCAATTTAATGGCGGCGCCTGAGGGAGAGGTTTCGAGAAAGAATATGCGCCAGTGTTGCCTGCACGAGAGCAGGCGCCCGCTCTGTTGCAACTCTGTTGCTCCATGCGCCTTTCCTCCTCTCGCCCCCCATTGCAAGCAAGGAGCGCCTTGGCGCAGCCTCTCTCGCTTCCTTCTCGCTCCGAGAATTGCAAACGTCGAGCGGAGAAAGCAAAGTTGCCAGACAAGCAGCAACGTCCAAAATGGCGGAATTTACCATTTTTCGCGTTAAAAAAATACTTAACCTATCGCAACAAAACCGGTGGCTATGGGAAAGTAATCATTTATACCTTGTGTAAATTGTTCAAGCGCGTTAATGGGCTTCTATGACCTGAGTTAGGAAAGAAAACGACCCTTTGCCCCATAGACTCCCAGCAAAATTTAGCAATTAAATGGCGTCCTTGTCCCTTGATCATAGTGGAACCTGTAAAGTCACGGTGCAAAGGACAAGTCGTATGTGATTGGTTGTTGACGACGAAAACGAACTATATAAGAGGAAGTTTTTGAAATAAACGTGTAGCTGAGTTTGAGACCTGTCTGTTTTTTCTGTTTCTTCTGCTCTACAAAAAAAAAAAAAAACCCAGTCTCAGGGTAAACGACGAAATGGTTGACTTCCACCAGCTAGCCTGTACTTTGACTCTTTTCTCGTAAAAAGTTAAGCTTTTTTTTTTTTTTTTTTTTCTGCACAGCGCAGTTTGGTTACGGGGGGGGGGGGGGGTCGCGCGTCGCGCAAGGAGGTGAGAAAGATAAGCGGAGAGCCCTCGCCTAAGCAACGCCTAAGCAAACAAAACAGCTTGCGAACGGCGGAAAAGAAAACCCAAAAAATTAAAAAAAAAATTTTTTTTTTTTTTTTGCACAGCTTAGTTTGGTTACAGGGTCGGGCGCCACGCCCAAAGAGATAAGAAATTACTTCGATTTTTCAGGATAAAAGGTCCGTTCATTATGCGAGTAAATACGGACGCAAAAATTTTACTTCGCGTAATGAACGCCCCCCTCAACTTTGCATCGATTTTTCGGGAAAAAAAGTGCGTTCATTTTGCGAGTAAATGTATATAAATAAATCAAATTAAAAATGGTGCTCGCAAAACAGTGAGTTTAGAAAAAGAGAGCACGAGGCCTCTTCTGTTATAAATCTTTTAAACTCTCTCTCTCCTTTCTTTCTTTCCCCCCCCCCCTCCCCCCCCCCTCCCGGTCTTATGTTGGCCCTGGACCTTTTCGGGCTGGACTATCTGGCCCTCACACTCAAATGAGTTTGAGACACCTGACCTAAACACTATGATTACTAGGAGTGGGCTATACCTTTTGGTGTTTAAAATAAAATAGCAAATCAAGACAAAAAGTAGGGGTGGGCCATCTCCTGGGATAATACAATATTGTAATCGTATATCAATGCATGTGCAAGTCTTAAAGGGCAACTCCGCTTCATTTTTGATATTTAGAAAACTATGTAGCCCTCTTCAGTGTCATATAGGAAGACCCCATGTCAAATATTATGATCTAATTCCGTCTCTATATTTAATAAACTGGCCAGCAAACTTTCAAATCAGCCAAGTCGACGAAATGTGCCAACTCTCGCGTGCGACGTGAGGCGCAATCGTCAGCGCAGTCAATGCGACAGAGCTAGAGCGGCGAACGTTGAGCCACTACGTCAGAGGCATGACTACGTCATTCTCACGTTTTGTTTGTTTTTACTTCTCGGAGCGAAATTGAACGATGACGTCATGAGTTTCTCCTCCAGGTGTTGGCTGAACGGCGTCCACGTGATCACCGTAACGCGGATGCGATAGTTTGCGCTGCCCTCCGCGCTTATCGGTCTGTTTCTCCACTCCCCTTCTCTTTCGTCTTCTCCCCTTCCCCCGAGCCATCACCGTCCAGGCCATGCGAAGCGACCTGCGCGCGTCGCGTGTCCTGTCCCTCGCCCCCACGAAGTAGGGTGCCATACACGAACGCCACGAGACCACGTGGTTCGACGTGACGTAGCCATGACTCTGGCGACACGAGACCAATGTTGCCTGACGTAACCGAAGTTTCGGTTTCGGTATCAGCTGATGTTTAAAGTAAGATTACATAAATAATATTCCACCTTTCGCGAAACCGAGGACTTGGAGCTGTTTAGTAGTGCTTTGTGAAATGGAATCGCATGTAAGCCTAAATTTTTCGGAATTGAGCGGAGTTGCTCTTTAAAGGGGCCCTGCAACGACTTTTGTACTATTTTTTTATTTTGTACCGAACCTGAGCGCACTGAACGTACTAATTTAGTGAACTTATTTTTTTTCTTGAAATCTGCTTTATTTTAAAAGTTATAGGCATATTAAAATTACAAAAAACAAGCAAAAAAATAACCTCCTTCATGACGTGCTTGGTTCTCTGTCCCCCCCTTTCCCACGCTGGAGGATTCCCCTTGCCGCAGTGACTGAGGAATGTGGGGAGGGAGGGGAAGATGGGGAAAGGAGGTGAGGCCGAGGAGAGAAGCTGCCTGGGAACGGGGCAGCTCTCCCTCTTCGGCCGACGTCAAGACCAAAAACGTCACACTTTCGTCACAAGCCGGGCGCATTCGACATCACAGGGCCCAGAAGAAGGAGGTTTTTGCGTTGTCCTGTTAAGATATGATGACCGATGTATAGTTACTCTCTCCGTGCCCGCTGGGTTGCCCGAACAACAAGAGACGTGGAAACCGCAAGAAAGGTAGACGGTTAATAGGATTGAAGGGCCCCTTAAATGGAGTATCGAGGGCTTCACCTCAATTCCTGGAAAAGGGGTCACTTCAGATCCTGTGGCGATGAGGATGTTTTTGGTCTTGACCACTTCACTGGTGCCATCCCGTTTCAAAGCGGTGACTTCATTTTTGCCAGTAATCTTGCCATGACCTTGAATGTGGGTAACCTGGAAAAAGAAAAAAAGATGCCAGAACTTGTATTTTTACACTGCTCACCTCACATACACTACTTTTGTTCATGAACAAAATGAGAGATTTACCTTGTTCTGCTTGAAAAGATGTGCGATTCCTCCAGTTAAAGCTTTCACTGAAGCACTCTTCTGGTTCATGAGCTGGTCCAAGTTGAGACGAACATTGTCGACTGTCAATAGGTTTTAAAAAAAAAATTATGTGAATTTATTCAGAAAGACGTGGTCCAAAAAACTAACATTCAAACAATGGATTATAGTATAATATCAACATACCAATTTATCACAAAACAGTGTCATTGCGGTTGCTTAATCTACTATAACCAAAAGCAATTTTGACTGAAACGGAATTCTGGAGCATGCTCCATACATATTTTCTGGAAATGTCGAGGCAAATGCACCATTAGGTTTTCATGCTCTATAACAGCAGTGCATCAGAAGAGCGATTCTAAAGCAGACCATTTCAGGGGCTGAAAGTAATGACTATCCCGTAAAATACACAATTATATTTAGTGCACCTTGCAGCTTCTATTTACCATTAGGAAGGTCTTCTATTCACCCTCTTCCTCTGCAAATTAAATAAAAACTGGAGATGTTGGCCTCAAGAAAGGCAACCATGGCTACATCAGATTATAGGCGCAGACGAATGTGCAACTGCCCTGCATTTGCAAACTCCGACGCAGTTTGGTAACAGCCCTGCTGGAGAAATCCTGGTCGCATTAAATGCTACTTCACTACATTCAAGAAACACATCTAGAAAGTCAATTCACCCAGAGCATCTCCATGTGATTTGTGAGAGAAGCAAACAATACTTTCTGTACCAAGACAGGACATCAACTTCGTGACATTACTAGACATTTTGCCCACCAAAGATTTCTTAAAGGATGTAACCTTTTGTGTGAACCTTTCAAGCTGCAATATGTGAAGAATAACACCCTAATAAAGCAAGGTTGTACCTTCAATGCCTCTGTTCTTGAAGTCGCTCGAATGGGCCATGTGATAAAGATGAGAGTTGTGCAACAGCGCTTTGGAAGGAATGCAGCCAACATTGAGGCAGGTACCTCCCAGTGTGTCGTTTTTCTCTATGCATGCCGTCTGCCCAGAAAGAAAAAGAAACAAATTGACATTACCTGCAGGGATGGTGCACAAGCAATAGTAGTGGTATGAACCTTAAAGAGACACCGCCTTAATATGACATACGTCACAAAATGCACTCCCACCCCCAAGAAAATAACATGAATATTGCAATATGAACATTGCGCAACACATTTTAAGCTTGGACCAATTCTGTCTACTCGTGCACGCTGGCTCAGAAATCACTTTATTTGGAGGCCAATGCCACAGTGACGTCAAAAGAGGAGTTGTTTTGTGAGTCTCCCATTGGTCAGAAGGAGTGTGGAGGAGAGGTGCAACTAGAGCATGCTTTTCCTCCATACACCGATTAAGAGTGAGAAAAAATTTGGAAGAGACACTTAAGACTGCTTACGTGTAGAAATGCAAAAGCATTCCTAAATGCAGCACATTCCTACAAGCATCGCGCCACGTCTTCCTTGTTCACACAGCGCTCCGGCGGTGATATCACGCTTCCCAACTGTGCAGGCACGGCGAAATCCGCCGGCTTCACAACAGCTTCCGTGACGAAGCATCTGCGTTGCCGTGCTTTCCTTTGAGTTTTATTTCTGAGGCACATGCTTGATGACGTATTGGTGTAACCATCTTTTAGGCACAATGCCACCGCATTTTCGCGTAATGAGACAAGTAAGGCTTTTGCCTCAATAAAGTAGAGAAGAGGATGGTCCATAGGCTGCATTTATGGCTCTGCCTAAATTGCTATTTTCACCGTAAATATTGCTATTTTTTTTTTCCAGGGTTAAATGCATTTTGGGACATACATGATCTATTCAGTCAGATTTTAACAAAGGTTTTCTGACAGTGCAATGTCAATTTACACAAAGATGAGCCAGTACCTTGAGTCCCAATTGTGATGCTTTGATGGCAGCCACATAGCCTCCTGGTCCACTGCCAATTACAACTAGGTCATGTTCTTCTGAAATATCACAGAATAAATTCTGAGATTGCACGGGAAACAAAGGAACATGTACCATAATGCTAGTGACATGAAATAACAAGAATGTAAAAAAAAAAATAAGAATGAAACATGTAATGCATTACACAATAGAGTGCAATCTTTTTCCACAAAGCAGCAAAGGATGACAGAGGGTGGTCCCCAAGGAGTGATCCCTAAAAAAAAGCCTCACAATGGCAGCAGACAGTCTGCAGAAAAACTTGGCTTTTTCAGGGAAACTGAGGAGAACATGTTTCTTCAAATGTTGCTACAGTTAATATTCCTGGGGCAAGACCTACAGGACTGCATAAGAGATGTGTTAGCTGCTCACACTACACTGCACGAGTGCAGAAAATGTAGCGCTGCCTGAATTTATTCGCGAGTACGGCCTACCTTATGATAAACTTGACAGCCATGCTACAGATACAACGTTGGCTCAGGATGATGTAATGTAGTGATTCTAGCTCTAGAACTCGAAATGGCGCCAAAAGCCAGCACCGCTGTGCTGCACGTTCTGGCGTGCCCGCGTGATACCGCACGATGGGATCGGGATTAAAACAGATCGTGCTTGGATTCGGACGGGGGCTGGTCATGTCGGTCTCTGATCCTAAGCCAGCGATCTCTGGCCCACAGAGTATATCGCATGTAGCTCTATCAAAACTCCATGTGACATATCTCTGCAATGCATAAGAGTGCTTGTTAATAACTCAAAGGTGTGGACTTGAGATATGAGGCCCTTCAGGAAACCCCGTCAATGAAAGCCCGTTCGGTATAAGAATTCAATAATCCGAAGTTACTGCGGCATGCGAGAGATCGGCTGCTCGTGTTTGTCAAAAATATTATAATTAGCACGTGACTCGTGCGTCATATACCCGTGCTGCTGGAGTAATTTCGATGATGCGACGTATGGATGCCAGGAACAGAAATGCCAGTGCACGCAGACCTCTGCAGCGTAGAGGCCTGTGGAATAGAAACAAAGGAAATAATTAAATTGAATTGATCGCTCGAAAACCATACGCAAGGGCACAGCGATTTATTTGGATCCATGTAAAAAACCTGGCACACTTCGCCGACTAAAAACATGAGAAATGCATATAAAAAATCTTTATCTATGTTTGGTCAGAATGTTGCACCAGAAATGAAAGCGATGTTTAACAGAGCAAGTCCTTGAAAAGACGAACAGGTTTACGCGGACCAAGTTCGAGGACGCACAAAATATTTGTAATGAAACTGACCCCTTCCTTACATGTACTACTTCAAGTGATAGAGAAGGAACTCGCAATTCAGTAATTCTGTGGAATATTTCATAAAACAAAAATAGCATGAAGTTCCAAAAGTGTCGGTCTGCTGTCTGTTTCGGAAGCAGTGCCGCTCAGAAGATTGTGCCCAGAGTCCCGACACAAGTGCGAGCGACGTTACTAAAGTACACAGTCAAAGATCATTCCAAGGGCCTCATGCTCACCCTGAGTGCCGGGATTAACCTAATCCACAGATTTGAATGCATGCTATTTCTTGAACGTTTTCTAACCAGCAAGGACAAACAGACGGCAAAATCGACCCGAAAGCAGAGGGAGCGCCGCCTGTCTGTAACCGCTCGAACTGGTCAGAAGAGAATAATCCTATTTTTCGACGATACGTCTAAAACAAAAACAAAAAAGTTTTAAAATATTATTTATAGCTGCTTATTTATAAGATTGTACTATAGTGATAGGTTTATAGACGACTTTAAACCGAGCCGCTTTCGGCTGTTTCGGTTTCAGTTAGAAGGGCCGTCCACTCGTTGGTAAAGTTATCGCAGTCTCCTTTCTTGCAAAACTCGTCTGACAGGTATGACGGGTAATGGAAAAAAACTACGTGCTGACCCGCTGGACGGATCGATCAACCGCCTGCCTTTCACCGCCTAGCCTTCGCGCAAGTATGCATAAAGAGCATAATTTGTTTGCAGACCAACTGGCATGGGCCTTTCTGCTGTTCTCCCGACTCTCCTGAGCCAATAAATGAAATGAAATCATATGAAAGGTGCCACAGGCCTTTACTGTATGAAAGGATGCATGCCCTTTTGTGGCGCAGCGGCTCTGAGCCAACCATTTTTTTTTTTTTTTTTTTTTTTTTTTGTATTGTCCAACGAATGCGACGAGTACGTAGCTTCCGCCACCCTGTCAGCTTAGGGGCTTAGGAGCGAACCGAGGTTAGGTCGCTGCTTCTTTCTTGTATGGCTTTCCATAAAATAATCTTTTTTTAAATACATTTTTTTAACAAAAAAAATTATGAGTTATTCCACTTTGTGAAGGTGGATCGACCAGCGGAACTGTTTAGCACACGCATTCGCCCGGCGGAATGCATAGGATCGACATCCAAATTTCGGTTCCTTCCTTTTACAGCGGAGCTGTTGGCTAGGTTCCCCAGGATGGTGTCCGTGTATGTCGACACAAACCTACCTGGACAGCTACCACCATGTATAAGCGACGGCGGCAAGCACACAACCAGTATGGTTTCCGCTGTCGCTCGTAGATGGCGGCAACCTTTCCAGCTATAGACCGACACGCCGTTTATAAACAAGCCCGCGTTTGCGGGCTTGTTTGTAAACGGCGTGAGGGGAAGCTACTGCGCATGCGCCGTGGCGACAACAGCGCCACTGCAGAGACGCGACGTCAGAGCTGCGTGTTAGTCTATAATAGAAGAATGGATAGTTGGGTGCATTGGTGGGAATTCATCGTAGGAAACAGCGTCAAAAACAGACGACGATGAAGAAGCAGCAGACAGTGTATCGAGTACAGCTCAGCTGATCGTTTTTCTTCACGAGAGTGGAAAGGCTGAACGTTTTATTTGGCAGACTCTGGCAAGAAAATGATATAGTGTTATTTCTCGGTGGCCTGAAAAGCTAACAAATTAAGTTTCTCAACATTTGAACGGAAGCTTCGATTCAGGCGAAAAAGAAAAAAGCTTGTAGCAGACGATGTGTAGCCTCAACAGTGCTCTGCGCTGACAGCGTTGCGTGAAAATGGCGGTCATCTCCTCTTCGCTTCCTTCTTTCTCTCTCACTTCTTCGGCACTTTCCTCCCTTTCCTTCACGTTTCTCCTCTCCCGCGCCTTCGTCGCCACATCCACTGGCCAAACTCTCCCAATATACAGCTCCGAGACATGCGCGACGGGACCACCACCCCGGGTGAGCAGAAGGAAACTAGGCACGCAAGCGCTTGGAACAACGACGAAGTGAGGGTGCGCGAGGTTTTGTTGACACAGATGAAAAATCCATAGCAACTCAAGAAGGTAGGGCAAGGGTAAGGCGTGCCAGGGAGGAGGAAGGTAATGGATTGCTAGAGAGGGAAGAGGTTTCCCCCTCTCTTCAATAGCGTTCTGTCTGCTTCTTCCTCCCCTACCCGTCTTACCTCGCCCTACCTTCTTGAGCTGCAAAAGACTATAGCCATAAACAGCTTTGCTGTAAAAATCGTATGTTTTCTTTGGCACTGACTGGGAGGTCAGAGACGAGATGGCATCAAGCATACACCTTACACACCGCATCCACGCACCATGAAAAAGTAAAAGAGAACAAGCCTTTCCACACATTAAAAAGAAACAACAATTTATTTGCAGTCAAATCAGACTAACAACTGCCTGCGAGTCAGTGATTTTAAAGGTAGGAATCATTCTTCTGTCATGACTAGATTATCGAGCAATTGAGCCTAATCCCAATAGCAACCATAATGAATTTAACATCGCTTAATCTAAAAATGCACTTGTGCACTTTACCTACTTTATAGTTTGAAAATTCACAAATTATTTTCACCAGCGTCATTCAAAGTTGTACCCTTTCTCCTGTTTGCACCGAGAAACAGAAAGAAACTTGGGTTCACTGCTTTCCCTTTTCTTGGTGCAAGGTGATATGATACAACTTTAACTGCCTGTTTCTTATAGAAGTAGGACATCTGTACAAATAATTTGCAGATTTTTAGACTTGGTTAAGTAGGTAGATGATGCTTGAGCCATAAATAGACAGTCACACACCGCTTAGTGTGCCCTTTAACATCACAAATTAACAATGCAATTCATATGCTCAAGCACAGTTGGAACCCAGCTCAGATGTAACAAATGCACAAAGAGACAGAAGAACAGTCATGACACAAGTGGTGTTCCTGGAACGATAGGTCTCACAACCTGGTTTCACTTGCCCACAATGCCTGGAACTGCCAATAAAACAGGAATAATGTACCATTGAGGGTGCTCTCACTCATCTCATGCTTGTCACTTAGAGTAAGTGAGCCTTGTACCCTGCAAGCATTCACTGAGTGCACATCACCAACACAATGAATCTCCACGACTACTTGTATAGTAGCATCGGTTATGTATATTTCACAAGAATCCCACAGACCCATCGATAATATGCAACCATCAAAAACAACCTGATGTTCATGCATCAACTGATAATAGATAATGAGACAAAATCATCAGCGTGCATGAGATGCATGAAAGCCATTCCAATTCTGCACAACAGTCAAAAGACTGCAAAAAAATCATCTTGAAACATTACTATCAAAACTGAGCGACTATGAATGCACATAAAACCGTTCAACTGTCACGAGCAATCGGGAACAACTAGACCACCATTTTGAGCAAAACAAACTTTTTTCTGCAATGAATTCTTAACGTCTCACAGAAACAGACTTCAGTTTGACGACAGTTAGTGCTCCACAATATGGCATCATTATTACTTTGATGCCAATTAATTTTAGTCACTTTCGTGTTCTTGATGCAAGAGGGACTTTAGCACAAAGGAGCTTAAAACTGCTTGCAGAAAACAAATATTGTAAAACCTACATGGAATATGTCTCTATGAATCTAGGTTCAATGATAAAAACAGAATGTTTGTAAACACCCTCAGCATGGCAACCGACATCTACCAATTCGTACTATACAGCACAACCAAACATGTCCACAAAAAGTATAAATATGTAGTCGTGGCATGACGCGAAACTAAATTAGTCGGAAAATAAACAATCGGCCTGCCACATTCAATCTTTGACATTCAAACTTTGGCAAAATATAGCACGTATAACTTCGAACTAAATACGCTCGACAGCTCAATGCACCCCGCAATGCAAAAGATAGGAACTTTCTAATCTAAACAGTGAAACATGGTTGTGCAAAACAAAAGACCTGAGGTACCACTGCACCCAAATGGACTCTTACATCTTCTCTTCAGCAATTCAATAAATTATTGTGACCAAAGATCCTTCGTTTGACAACTCTCGTTGATAATTTTAGTACTGTAAAAGGCATACTAGCTTGGCAGTCGAAGAAGGTTGCGAGTATAAGCAGACTGCAGTGCAAGAAGGCCTTGTCGCGCAGGTTACAGTGCAGAATAGAAAGGTCTGAAGGGCAAAAAATTAACCAAAAACTGCACAAAATTGGAAACACAAAATAAAGAGTTCCACATTGCTTTTTGAAAAACGAACCAAGCGTGAATATTTACTGCGCAGAAATTGCAAATATGCTTTTGATGCAACCATATTTGCGACTCAGGTACAGTCAATAATACCATTGTGGCACGAAACGGTCTTCACGCACTCCAAATTATATGCAATTTTCAGTTGGTTTTTCGCACCAATGTCATGGCCTCAAGATCGTGCGGACAGAATTCCAAAGAGCGAACGAAACAGACATTGAAGGACGAGTTAGGCTCGTCTCCAAAAAGTTGGGGCACGGAAAACTCAAGCCCCTTCCCATCCATATATGGCAGACTCAGCATTCATTCCCAAACCATAAAGCACGCTCTCTCTCTCGAAGAACAAAAAGGACTGACTGATGTCTTCCAATGGTTCCGGAAAGGTGAAATCAGATGACGTGTCAAAGGTGGTTCAACACCGAGAAACAGCAAAGAGACGAAGGTAACCGGCGGCGCTATAGCACGGTGTAGTTCTCGATGTGCTGCCTCGAGCGGCTTCCGGGCCTCTCTGAGACAGAGCCCGTGCCTGGACGGCCGTACCCTTGCGGATGTGAAGGGTGGTGGTGGTAGTAGTCTGACGGGTCGTGCCGGCCGTAGCTCCCGCCTTCTGCGACGCTGCTTGGTCTCACGTACGGACGTCCTTCGTATCGCGGCCCGTGCAGGCTGCACGAGGTAAGAGGTAGAGATGTTGGGATTGATGAGAAACCGAGACATCAATGAATGATCACTCGAGGGATCCTGAAATAATAGATGCGTCGCTCAATGTTCACATAGAAGAAGCTCGAGACTGGAGAACACACCTTTCTGCGTTCTCCCTATCATAATTTCTTCGAGGCGAACAATCTAATCAGCATCGAAGGCATTATCTGTTACAGCGTAGGCATTTTCACTGACTCATTGCCAGGGCCCGCCTGTTCTAGCTTTGTTTCGTGTGTGTTACCTAGAAAGCCCAAAACAAGACACAATAATCAAGAAATTTCGCAGGCTGATGCTTACTGATTGAACATTCGCATGGTAAGCTCTGTTGGCTCTCACCTCCTATCTCTTTTTCTGATTATGAGTAATGATACGATAAACTTCCCAAAGATTAAAAGATTCCAAGCTCGAAGAGCTACTTTGTCCATCGGCATAATCAAAACATATATCAACTATATTTATCTTTCAATGGCTATAAAGAGGGATCATTTGCTATTAATTTAGAATAGTGAACTAAAAGAACTTGTGAGATATCACTTGTAAAGTCATTACCTAGACTCTCCAGCTTAATGTTTTCAATGAAACACAGGTAGCAGAAATCGTATCAACAAAAACTAAAGGTGACAATTTTGACACATTGCAGCAAAACAAACACATTTAACCTTGTATCTGCTTTTTGTTTCTTTGTCAACCTCTTTCATATTCATTCTCTCAGGATCCCCAATGTCTGTGCACGCTATTTTCCGCTCTTCACATACGTCCTTGCCACCCGGTATTAACTTTTCATTTACCGCAATTTCTCGTTTTTCCAGCTGAGTAACTGTTGCTACTTACAAGAAACATCATAGCGTGAACCACGGCGTCGGGTTCCATCTGAATATCTGATGTGGCTGTGGGTCTATTTACCTCCTGTCTGGGGCAGCATAGGCACCAGAGGTGGACCAGTAGTCCCCATTGTGGCTGGAAGGCGCGGCTCGAGCTGACATCCTCAAGGCGGGACCCAAGCCTTGCTCCTGGGAAGATGCCACAGGGTGCTGCTGTGGCTGGTGCTGTGGCTGATGCAGCTGGTGCTGTTGTGGCAGGTGCTGTTGCGGCAGGTGCTGTTGCGGCTGGTGCTGTTGCGGCTGGTGCTGTTGAGGCAGGTGCTGTTGCGGCTGATGTTGCTGCTGCGGTTGCGGCTGATGTTGTTGTGGCTGGCGCCGTGATATGTGAACCACTTTGACGCTGCTATCTGAAGGCAGGCGAAACGGCTGAAGGCTCTACAGAGAAGGAAAAACAGACAGACAGTATGTATCCTGAGTACAGCTTACTTGAACTACTCTTATATTTCAATGTAGAGAGCAAAGCACTTTCCTACAATCCAATTAGAGTGTGCCCTACCTATATTTATAAATACTGCCGACTGTTCAAGGTTGTGGCAGGAGTTAAAAACAAGTTAGTTCAAACATGTCCCCCATTGCTTTTGTCTCATCAAGTGTTACATAGGTATGTTCATCTGTGTGGAAGTTGGAAGTTTGTCTGTCTGTCTTTTGTTTCCTTTCTTGATGTATAGTAGTTCAGTTACTTTAGGCAAGTGAAATGAACCTGATATTTTTCGTAGTAAACTAGTAATTTGAGCTAATTGGTACTTCAACATGATAAAACAGCACACAGAACACGGAGAAAGAGGAAAGAATGAGTAGAACGAAAGAGCGCTGACTCAGTTGGGAGTCGGCAATCTTTCATTCCACCTGTCCTTTTCTCTTCCTCCGTGTTCTGTGTGCTGTTTTATTACGGGTATATGTATTATTCCAATTATTGGAAACAGCAGGTTAGCAATTATGGCACCCATTGGCTGGACACTGGACAATATTTTACAAATAAAATTGCAATGTAAATGTAACATACTTACATGTAATTGCAATATGTAATTGCAATTGCAACTATACTTACATGTATAGTTGCAATATGATTGGTACTGTAACTAAATGCAGTGCTCAACAAAGCCAATGAGGCCACAGGAGTGTAGAGCTTCAGACTACTTGCATGTAACATGATGGGGCAAGAAAAGCACCCGTGATCGATCGGTTCGGGAGGAAAAGTCACCAACATCAAACTGCTCACGCTATTTGGCTTGGGAGGCTCAAGCCATCTTTTAGGATATCACAGTAATTACGTCCTAACAAAAGTAACTAAGGGACACTTTTAAGCGTAACATCTACAGCTCTGCTCAGCATAGGTGATGTCTGTCGAATAAAATCCAATTAATTTATTTTCAAATAATCCAGTCAAACTAATATATATCTAGTGAAGTGGAAAAAAAGAAAACACATAAAAATTTAGATGACAGAAGCAACCTCACCAAAAAGGCTTTAAAATTTTTATAGCAATAAGTATAACCCGAATGTGAACATGTACACTGTGTGGCATAGTTAGTGAAAATGTCACCACTCCTGCAAAGTTTACTCATACAAGTTGGTTTAAGGGGACACAGCCCCTAGGGGGGTCAACTTTTGAACCCTTGTCTTAAAATCAATGAAATTTACAGGGTAGGCTGGTGATCATGCTAGAGGGTGTATAACAAAATTTCAGGTCTGTCGGTTAAATGAGAAGGAAATTAGAGTAGCTTCTATCAGCAACACGCCTACATTGTTTAGTTAATCTGTCATTAGAAAACTATCACCATATTCAAGATTTTTATTTGCTAGATATGTAGCAGAATGCTTAAAGGGTGTGGCTATGGAGTGTTTTTCCTAAAAACTCATTTATTTTTATAAATTTTCTCTTCTGCAAAATTGGTCAACTTTTTGGTCTTCTGTATCTTTGACAAAATGTCAACATTTTTTATAAAAGACATCCATAAAGTGACAAAAAAGTTCCATAGCCGCATTCCTTATTAAATTTCAGTCAGGAAAAGGGAAGAATGAGCCTTCCCCATTTTGCCATAATCAAACGATAGATTGACTAAAATGGAATTTATAACAAAAAGTGGAACGGAGAAAAACGCGTTCAAAGTGCTCCAAAGCCTACCTTTCTTTAGCTTTGGTGGACAGAAAACAATTTATAAAAAATTAACTATGCAGTGTAAATTAATTAAACTTTTTGGGAATACTCTCTAAATGTTGATGGATGTAAATATGTCATTTCTCAAAATCAACTTTTTTTGCAGAAATTGTTTTTTCTGGGCACTGTCCCCCCTTAAAACACCTGGCCTACAGCAAAGGATAGTGCTCCACCTAAGCACTCCCTGCTATACTAGTAGTTTCCATCACGGCCTTGCAGCAAAGATACAAAAATTAGCGATCACTTGCTTATCCTGTCTCTTACTCCGTACATATAAATAAAGCAAAACAGCCAACAGGAGGCCGGCGTCTCTACCAACATCAGCAAGCTCATTTGAATTGTCACTTATTATAGCAGTTACTTGAATACTAAGAAAATTTTATGCAAACAAGCCCCGTGCATCTTACCCTTCCCCAGGGCACGTGTACACCCAATCATTGTCATTTTTGTGAAGGGAGGGAGACGTTTGCAATTCGTCATAAAATAAGTTTTGCGCAAAAAGTCATCCAGGTAGCACAAACATTGCGTAATGGAAAGCCGTCTTACATCTCGCTTCCGACAGGTCTTCTTTGACTTCTCATATTCGGCCCTGCGCCTGTGATCCTGAAATAAAAAAAAACAAAAAAAAACAAGTTGCAACATAACAAGAAAAGTAATAAACGAGAGCCGACAAAAACCAACCAAGGATTTCTGAGGAGGCTCACCACATAGCTGATGAGGCAACTTCCTGGCACCCACACAATGATGGACACAACGATCACAGTCCCCACAATGTTGTCGTTGAGGAACTTCACTGCAACCAAGGCAAAGAGATGGTTTTCAGTAGAAGTTTTCTGCCCGGAGAAAGAACCAAAGGCATGGCAACTTCCGAGCAAACTTACAAACAGTGTTGATGTCAATGTCCTCAATGATGTCCCAGAATCTTTCCACAATATCTTGCACAGTCTTTTCACACCTTCCCTGTGAATTTTTTGTGGTAACAAAGAAGAGATCAGCCTTGAAGTCGATACCGTCTTCGCAAGCGAGAAGACGAGGCACTCAAAGGATCCATGTTTCTTCCTTCTTTTTTGTTTTGTTTCTGACATGGTTTATAGTGAACAGCACATATGCACAGTTGAAATGTAACTGGACTGGAGCGCACCTTTTCGCAGTACCCATGTATGCAGGGTGTTCCATCCCTCAGTATTTCCATTGGCTCTGTAGGCTTGCATGTGGCATTGTGGGATGGCCTGCAACATCGCTTGCAAGCATCCACCTCTGAAATCCAAGATTCGCGTCGTTAAATAGGTGCCAGGGAATTTGTAGCAAGGAGCTCTCCACTGAAATGGAGGAGTCAATTTTAACGTGACAGCGTTAGGGAGCTCGTGTCGCAGAAAATCCGGCGTCGGTGGCGTGACAGGAAAATCCCGATTGATCGACAGGGTCATGACGTCACAGGCACATGACCTCGCGTGGGAATTTAAACAACCCGCAACGCTCACGTGAAGCGTGAGCAAACAAAGTGATTAGAACATGACACATAATGCAAATTACATGTCTCAAATGGTTTCACTTTATAAAGTAATTCATTTGCTTTGTCTCATGTTGCTGCATGTCTCAAATGGTTTCACTTTATAAAGTAATTCATTTGCCTTAAAGCAAAAATTTTAAGTATTTTAGGCGGGATTTAAACCCACAACCCTTCGGTTGCGAACCAGACACGCTACTGACTGGGCCACGCAAGCCACACTTGCACAGCGAATGAGAAGGGGATGCGAACAGGCCCGATAACACTATCGCGTCCAATCTTAAAAGTCTTTACTTATATTAGCCATAGAATAACAAACTCTTTCGCTCCTTTGATTGCCAACAGACAAAAGCAAGCTTGTGTGGGCATCAGTCCTTCATACTCTTACTAGAATCTATTCACCTTTGCATTTATTGGGAGCAAAAGCTCCAAGTGGAAGCTCACAGGTATGAGTGAATAAGCACAAATTCATTGCACTTAGAGAGTAGAATGAACAGGTTGGTTCGAGGTGACAAGAACTGTCTGTGCGAATTGATATTTGTACCTAGAAAGATAGAAGCATTGTTCAAGAGTCATATTGCTTCTAGCAGAAAAGCATCATAAGCATAAACTTCAGCCATGTTTCTTGTTCTCATTACTCTGTTTTCGTAGAGCCCTAGCTCCGTTGTAAATATAAATTAAAGAATGCACTTGCCTGTGTCACACATGCACGAGATCTCTCCCCTGGTTTCACAGTAAGGCATGCATTCTCCACCACGACACTTGCCCCTATGATAAAAAGCCACATTAAAAAATATGTGTAAAAAGCTTGGAAGATTTAATAAAACAAAGGATATAAAAGAGAAAAGAAAATAAACATTCTACTGCTGTATTAATATTTAAAAAATTAACAATGTTTTTAGTAATACAAACACTGCTAACAATATTACCATTCTGTTCTTAGTGTTTTCAAGCAGGCTTTATAAAATCACAGTAATTTTTTGTTTGTTATATATTGCACATTTGCCTACGGCCGTATGCTATTATTCCTTGACTAAGGGTAACTACTGTATGCTTGTTAACCCCCAAATCTGGTGGGTTTAGCATGCATAAAAAAGGAATAACTTTTATATATGCTAGCTGACTCTTAACTTGTAACTATGCTAGTAACGAGACAAATATAATGACAGAAATGTATTAAATGTACTAACTTGTCAAGACACGGTTTGTCATCGTCCAGTGGACGGGATGGAGGACATTCGGCCGATTTTCCAGTGGAGGAGTTGTGTTAAGGACCAGACACACAGTGACAACAACGCTTGCACACACAGAGAGCTCTGCACCTTGAAAACATGACATGCCAGATAAATGCCTCTACAGACCAAGTTTGCAAGTGAAAAATGTATGGCGAATTGCTAGGCAATTGTGCTGCGTACTTGAAACGTTTGGGCTAAATTGCTTGATGGTTACACTTTATACCCTGTAGCCAAGCACGTTGATGCTAGTCCATGTAGTGTGGGATTAGTCTCTAATGCCACGCTACATCAGTGATGAGATTGGCCTAAGCCGTTTTGGAGCACCTTTCGGAGCAGCCAAAGCAGTGTTTTGGAGCAGCAAAAGTGGACTTTGGAGCAGCTAATACAGTGTTTTGGAGCAACAAAAGTGGTTTCTAGAGCTGATATTCTTAGAAAAATAAAAATATTTGTTTCAAGTGCTGGACAAACGAAGGACACTTTGCTCACCGCAGTAAACAAATTATAGTCAAGTTAGACTACCTTGGAGTTAATCAACATTTAGCTGAAATGCCAATGCCATGCCACATTTTGCAATGCTTCATTTAAGTGATACATATATATGTACCCGCTACAGGTAAACAAGAACCAAACTGCACATATTAAAATTTATTTAAAAATTACCAGCTTAGTGTTAAATATCACAACATTAGGTTGACTAACTATATAATAAATGGAAGTAGTCTCTAACTGTTGATACACGTGACTACTGCAGTGCAATGCGAAATCGTCACACGAGCGGAGATGGCTGTTCGATCGAAACCATGCCACTCCGCTCCGTCGCCCACTGGTTCCCAATTTGTACACAAAATGTAACTGTCTAGCATATGACAAAAAACAGTCCAGCTGTACGTGCTTCCCAGACTGGCTGGCGAGGGACAAGCTAAACAAAAAAAAATTGAGCACATTGATGCAAGACATTAGAAGCCAGGGTCAAAAAGTTCTCGGAGCGCTTTGTGCAACAACTGAACTCGAGACAAACGAGCACGCTGTGCGGGTTCACCGTGCAGACATTGCCTTCTCTGCTTTAGCTCACTTTTCTTCACTAACTTTCTTTCATGACGGATTTTTCACGTACCGGGGTCTCCCTCGAAAGAAAGCCCACCGAGAGAAACTTCGACACAACAGTCTTTGAGCAAGAGGGATTTTTTTTAGTAGCGTATTAAACAAGAACAAGGATGTTGATGAACATTAGGGCGGTCCTTACGTTTCAGTTTAGAAAGCTCCATATCTGCAGCGACGTGGCGACGGCAACTTGCAGGCAGAGACCACATATAGTTTTCCCACGGCCGTTGGTATGAGGAGCAAGTGCTTCAGCTCAAAAAGTAACTCCCGCCGCGCAAAAGCGTGGTTTCGTTTCACAGCATGATGGCATGGCTGGTACCCAACACGCTAGTGTCGAAACGTCCGCACAATCCCGCATCTATCCCGCGTCTACCATTTACCGTTGAAAAAGTTTAAAAAAGACGCGAAACGACGAGAGCGCGAAACGAGAGACGGCGGGAAAAACCATGCAAGACCGGATGAATTACGGATGAACGATTGATGCACAGGGTACTTTGTGTCAGGCGGCCGCTTGCGCCACCTAGCTCACCTGTACTCATTGCGGTACTCAGTTTAGTTTTGGTTGTGAAAGGCGACCAAAATTGGTCTTTTGGCGCAGGTTGGGCACAGATTACCCATATTTTGTCAAAATGTAGCAGGATGTAGCAGGGTTAGACCCTTGGCGCAGTTAGGCGCAATTGGCGCAGCAATCACATCACTGTACATGGACACAGGTGTCTAACATCTTTGCTCAGACTGTTCATCCCTGAGATTCCACGCAGCTAAACGCTTACATTCACAACGCTCTTCGTGAGATAACTTAATGCATACCATATCCACTTATAGCAGTTCCTGGATTGACGCAATACTGCTAATCACTCCTCAATCAGTGCGTCTTCGCTCAATCCCGTGAAAGCCTCCTCCTCACCCACCTCTAGCCATGTGACCTCCCCTGTTAGCCAATCAGTGTCGAGCTTCTTTCATTCCTCCTCTCCCCTCCATCAAACAATCAGCGTCGAGCTTTGCAGTCACTTCACTTTTTGGGCTTCTTGAAATGCTGAGCAACTATCCAAAGAATGTTTCCCATTAACAAAAGAGAACAGCACTCTAAAATGCCACAGTCCTGGGGCCTTAAACATTAAAAGTTGTATTTTTTGCACGCAATTTGTGAAGGAAAGAAAGCGATAGCTGTAGCATGGTAGCGCAATGCGGGTGGAATGGTGCCGTCACATACCTGAGGACGGAGGTGCGACATGGCTAATTCTCATAGCCGTCGTGGTAGGCGTCGTGGATGCTACGGACGACTGTCAATAGTGATCCGTGAAATAAGTGCGTAAGCGCGAAAGTCTCTGAAACCATCCAACATTATGCGTAGCGACAGGATACTGCCAAAGTGGAATATTGCATAACACAAGTAATGTTTGAAAACAAATTTTCAAGCAGACGTCACGGAAGACTTTGCTCTTGTAGCGCCGTTACTGGCGGGATGCCAGGGCGGCTGATGGGAAAACCCACTTCCCTGGCCTCGCACCAAAAGTGGAGAGAAGGGTATTTCTGTAATGGTGACGACTGGAGACAAGGTCGAAATCTCTAAGAAGTGTCGCCCATAAAGCTATCACTTTAAAAGTAGAGAATGGACAAAAATCTAACAAATTTAAAGTGCCTCGGAAAGTGCCATGCCCACTTGTTGAAGACAGCAAAGTCCTACCTCTCCAATGAGGTGAAACAAAAGACACTGACAGTAGATGAAAATAATAAAGGATATGTGCAATGAGACTCGTTCTTGCAAGCGTTGGGCTGGGCCTCGCGACACAGGGCTCCATACTGGGAGTAGTCACAGTTGCGGCAGCAGGGTGAGTTTCTGTCACTGCATTCGAAGAGAAGAGTGCAAACCTGCTGTAAAACTCCATAAGCCGCAGTGGTCTCATACCATGCATCTCTGCAGAATAAAGAAATTATGAAAAGTGGGCCAGGAGAACACACCTGCACTTGGCGTTCTGCTTGAGCCTGCACTCATCGTCGCAGCACGGGTCGCTGTCTTCACTTCCAATGAGCCCAGCGTCACATTGTTCCCCTTCCTCCACCAGGGAATTGCCACAGAACGACTCCTCTGGCTCTGGAGTCACAAGAAAACTGCTACGTAAACATCTGGCATTAAGAAACAGCAAGGGCAGCTACCAGACAGGTGCCCGAAAAAACTTTGTGGCTTTGATACCTCGACCTCAAACAAAAGATGCATGAAACGATAGTTTGGGTAAAATTCCTCTCCGACACGACAACCAAACAAGAAAAGATGGTAGCTACCCTGCACGCTAACAGTTATTTGCTTTGTAATGCAACTCAGAATATATGAATGCTCTAAACAACACAAATTAAAAAAACAAGAATTGTCATGCCAATATCTCCAATGCATATGATTCATGAAACAGACAACTCCTGGTTGCAAAAGCTCCGACAAGCAAAATATTACAAAATACAGCCCTTTGGATCTTTCGAGGGATTCCAAAAATAAAGTACTCATTATTGTTTTCTAGTATATTAGTTAAAAAATTTGCAGCTGTATCTCGATCTACCAATCAAACCGACATATGAAGAGTTGCATTTTATGAGAAATGCAGCTGACTGTCTAGTTGGTTTGAGCTACGGTAGTTAGTTTGCGGTACAGAAGTTTGGCAGCTGGCAAACTCTCCTAGCTTTCACTGTGCTAGGCCATGGGGCACGACAGACACTTGCAAAATTTAAGTTAGCTCGGGTAAGAATGCAATTCTGCATTAAAAAGCTTACTTGAAAAGCACTTGCTAGCTTTTGCCAGGAGCACAGCCCTAATGGACCTCACGCTGCACGGTGAAAATTTCTATGAAAGGAAAAAAACAGTGAGAGTTACAGCAGAGATTGGAAATGTCACCAGTAGGCTGATGCGAGACAAGCGTAAAAAAATGGCGATGGTCACCTTGTTGTTAGGGTCATACCCGCTCACAGAGTAAGTGTACATCAGATAGGAGCCACCCCTAGGAGAGTCTGGGGAACACTCGGGGAGATCTGGATCGTGCTCACTGCCCCAGTTGTGGCCTTGCAAAGGACAAAATACACAAACGGAGGGTCCAGAACAAGGTTCCTCGTCTTGCAAAGGAAGTTGATGTTCTCTGTCACTTGCATCCCATGCTTGTTGCATAAAAAAGACGCTAAAACAAGATTTTGAGTGGGTCTTTGGTATCGTCGGACTCCGTACACTCTCCAGAAAACTAACTGAAAAGGGGAGGAACGTCCAATCAAGACCTAATTAGGGACCCAACGTTAATACCGCTCTTCAACGTCCACCACCCCTGAAGAGGACGCCGAGTAGGCCTTAAAACGTTGGGTCCCTAATTAGGGCTTGGTTGAACGTCCCCCACTTTTCCATTAGCCTTGCTTCAACCAGACAGTTTTCTGTTAAATGTTAACATTCAATTCTCCAAAATCTCTGTAATATATTAAACTAGGGACACTTCACTTCATCTGTGCTATAGAGTTGTGCATAATTTAGTCAATTAAGAAACACACATTTTATACAGTTCTTATACGATAGTTGCATGCCGGCATTCCTTGATGCTGCAAGGTGTGCCAGCATTTCTCGTAGGCGTCCCCATTTCTTCCTAATGCTGTCAAGCCTGTATGGTACGTCCCCCAAGACACTTCTCGGGAACTGTATTTCTATCATAGCAACAGAATTGGAGAAGGTTCCAAAGGAAAAACGAAAACATTGTGCAAACATATACAGGTCTGCCTAAGCCAAAGGAGGCTTGTGTGAAACAAAAACAAGGAGGCTTGTGTTTCACACAAACCTTCCTTGGCTTAGGCAGACCTGTATATGTATTTGTATATTCCTATGAATAAAAGTTTATTATTATTAATATTATTAACATCTCCAGAAACAAATCACAAGGTCGTGATAAGAATCTAAACAAGCATAAAAAGACCAACTCACCAAATTCTATGTTCCACCATTTTCCAAGTCATGAAATAAAAGCAGACATTCAAGATGTAGTAAAACAATATGTGCCTCTTCCTTGTCTTTTCGTGTCGTTTTTCCTAAACTTGCAACCCATGTCAGAAAGTTGTTGCAGAAGTATGAAACGAAGACACACTGCTTAAGTGACATTACTTTGCGGCAGATGCACTGCAGAAGATATGTTGACTGCGCAATATTGTTGACACGAACACGACATAGACACTTTTTTTGCATTTCACTTTGAAAATTTAATAGGCATAAAGTTTACAGCTTAAATTAGTGTTTTAAATGAGCACTTCCCAATGCACTAGTGGTTTTGATGGAAGCCTTTTGTTTGAACATTGAAAAAAGGGCAACCACTTCATTTGCAGTAGCAATGTCGAGCCATGTACACAGACAACATCTGCCTGTTTGAGCACTATGTCAATTCATCGGGGTAGCACACAATAAAACACCAACATACCATGTGCTGTGACCAGGTCAGCTTCTCTTGTAATCACACGCTGGCCGTAGTGATTCCGTGAGGTGCTTAGGCCAGAGTTCAGATAGAGCGTGTACCCATTTTTGACATAGCCTGCCACAAATTTCATAAAGTGTCAACATGATTGAGTTCTTTTAAGGCTAACCTGTTTCACCATCTATATCAGGGGTGGCCAAGCTGACCCGGCCTAAGAGCCGCAAACAAAACCACGAAACTTCCAAGAGCCGTGGGGGGGGGGGGGGCAAACTTTTGTTCACAGCAGTAAACGAAACTCTAACTATTTTCAATCTATCCGAGTCAAAAGCAGCCCAACAGTAAGCAAGGTACCAGTAGCACAAGACTACCACACCGCAACCTTCCTTTCGATTTATAACACGTTCCATTTCTCTTCCTGGGGGAAGTGCTTGTGCGACCAGGAGGGAGGCGGGGGAGTGAGGGGGGGAGGGAGGGCAGCTGCGAGCAGCACTTTAACATGTGAAGAGCCGCATGCGGCTCGCGAGCCGCAGCATGGCCACCCCTGATCTATATCAATGAAGAAAAAGATTGTATTAGGATTAAAATATACAGTGGCAAGACAAATTAATTTTAAAAGACAAAGATGACGGAGGGCATACGAGGACCAGAGAGGATGGTGAGGGAAGGAAGAGTTAATGGAAGAGAGGGATCTCTGCCTCCCGTAATCAGGATTTTATAGTCTGGAGAAAAAGAAATATTACAAAAGACGGAGGCAAACAGTATACAAAATGTCAACATTATATCAAAATGATGCGTAGCAGTTTTTCCCAATGCACCAGTAGTAGTTTTCAGACTTCAAGAATAAAAAAATAAGCTTATGATGAAATGTGGAAGCAAAAGCACATGATATTATGAAGCAAGACTGCAACCAAAGCACAAAATAGAACCGTAAAGCTAACTTGCAAAGCATGAAGAGCTAGCCTTCAAGCAAAAGCCAGACTTTTACTCTGTCTCCTAATAGTGCATGATGCATAAGAGGCATTCTCTATATGTCACTCAGTTTCTTAAAATTTCTGTTCAGAAAGAGAAAGTTAAAATTTCAGCTTTAAGGGAGATGTGTGTCTTAAACAGCAGAAAGTTAAAAAATAACATTTTTAAGACAATGGTTTTCCTGATGTTTGGGTACATCAAACTTCCTTTTTGCAAAATATTTTCCCTTTTTTTAATTGGTATGTATGAAAAACACTGTGATACTAATATTCTGCAAACAGCCAGTAGGAACACAGAGACTAAGTTTTTCTTTCTCTATTCATACTTTTTTCAGTAGTGCCAATGCCCTATGTTGTTGTTTTTTTAAATCTGTCTTGGGCAATTTTGACAACTTTGCTATCATTTTAGTTAGTTAGGAATGCTGGAAGAGGTGGTTACGCTAGTTTTAGAGTTGTCCAGATTATTATGTGCAGTTTATTATTTTCTGAAAAATTAACGAAGCCTATTTTCGGCACTATGATATCATATGTATGGCTTTTCTGGCCTCTTTTCGACACCATCATTACAAGTAATTTAAGATTTTTATTTAGAAATAAAGATTATTATTATTATTATAATATTCTAAGAACAAATGTAAAATAGCACCAGCCCACAAATCAAATTTTTTAACCAACAGTCCCGTTAAAAATTTTGCCGAGTTGTTTACTCTAACAGCCTGTAATAAATCATGTAACTGATCCATCTCTTAAACCTCAAATTCTAGAAAAATATGAAATATCTGATAAATATATGGAATCAAAATCAAATGTAATGTCTGAATGTATGCGACGATAAATATCCTTCCATACATAAGCCAAAAAAGCTCCAAAGGCCGTTGTCTCCCAATGAAGACAATAAAAGCATAAATTGAACCTGCCAGTAAACATAAACTGAGATACTAAACAAGCCTCACAGCACAGCTGAGCCCCCAAAAAAGTAGTAAGTGTTAGTAGTCGACTTTGCCCATGTAGAGTAGCACTAAGATAACTTTGACCAAATGCTATTAACTTCAACAGCTCCATAGTACTATTATTATAGAGGTCAACCATGGAATCGTCGCACGACACCAAAAGGGAAAGGAAGCGTTCATACCGGGGCTGCAAATGCCGCCCACGGAATTCCTTCGGGGTGAGCCCACGTACGCAAGGCCCAGGATGCCCCCTTCAAACTTCTGATCGGTAAACAAGTGCGCCAGGCAAAACCACCGGTGATTCAGGCTGCGAGAGAACACCTGAACCCGACCACAGGCAGGAGAGTCAGAAGCGTTGCGGGCATGGCAACGTTAGTCAAAGCAACACCCTGAACCCTCCGAACCAATGCCACGCAGCGATGGTCAGGAAGCACTAGTCTCCAACGGCCAATAAAGTCAGGAACATACTTATCGTATTTTCCAGACCAAGAGTCCATGGGTTGTACTTGTTTAAAAGTTAATATCTTATGCAGTGCAGGCTATCTACAGGTACAAACTATAAGAGGGTTTCTTTTTCAAGATGGCTCATTATGAGAGATGTACAGCTATTGTGAATGACAAATTATATTAGTGATGATTTCTGTGTGATAAAAGCTTCTGTGTGCCCTATAAAGCTAAATTTTTTTTAAAGGTGCGCTATGTAGAATTTCTTACCGCAAATACCGTGCTACAGGTGCGGGGACTACACTCCAGCTGCGGACTATGCACCAGGTGAAAACTATCCAAGGCAAATCTATTTTTCCTATATCAAAATTTGCCCCTGCAGGCTATACACCTTTCCAAAAAATGCTCCTAGGCCGCCGCCATGTTGCTGATGCAACTGGTTCGACGTTCGCACCCCCTATAAGCTAAAAATTTTGTGCCACTCTCCTGGACTGTGGAAACCCGCTCAGCGCTATTCTCTACCTATGTTTTGCAGTTCTGCATTTAACGTTTTCTGGCCCCTCTTGAAAGTTTCCACTTACGGTAATTTTTCTGATGCATACTGGATACACTTTCTGTGTTACCTTCCGCTGTGAGAAATAGGGCTGGCAAGTGCCTGCCAGTCAAACATTTCTGCTCAACATTCACGGCAAACGAAGAAGGGGAGGGACGTCGAACGGCCCTCTACGCGATTTTGCGAACAATGGCAACTGTTCTAGACCCTCCCAGAGATAATCCACGTAGAGTCAAAAAATAGTTGTTCGGGTTGGAGTCAGTTGTGCCCATTCCTTTGCCTTGGTGCTGGTGTGAAAAAAGGAAGCTCTCCCCAAAACGTGCCCCAAAACGAAGTCCTCTTGGATTCCGTCTGATCAACAAGATGTGACTAACGTTGACTGTGCCAGTGTTATTTGAGATCTTTCTCAAACAAATTCTTTTCAGATAATGCTACAGCGTGTGGTACGTACAATATACTGTTCGAATGTTAATACTTGCTAAATTGTATGTCCGTGTCAGATGTCCATCAGTAAACATGTTATTTGTGAGTGGGAAAAATGCATGCCTTTCGGCTAACTTTTGTTGTAAATTATTTTCGACAGCTAAGCGCTTTGTTGTTTGACACGCAGCTAATCGGGCAGCGCTGTCGAAGCTTATCGTAAAAAAAACAATGACAACTAACATTCCAGTCGCATTCGTTCTGTCGCGCACGTACCCAATAAAGATAGTTTACAGTTCTTTTTTTAACCATGCTGAATAGACCTGAGACTGGGGCAGAAGTGAACAAATAAGTCGAAGGAACAGAAAAGGACAGGACGACGTCTCAAACTCAGCTAACAGGTTTATTTAGTCCGCCTCCTTATATATCCCACAATTGGCCACCACCAACACAAAAGGGCAACCTCTAACCAGTGATTGGAGGGCTTGGCATTTGCACTGTTTAGAGGCTGCCCTTTTGTGTTGATGGTGGCCGGCTGTGGGATACATAAGGAGGCGGACTAAATAAACCTGGTAGCCGAGTTTGAGACGTCGTCCTGTCCTTTTCTGTTCCTACGACTTTAAGTACTTTCTGCCCCAGTCTCAGGTTTATTCAACATGGTTAACATTCACCAGCTTGCCTGCACCCTACCATATTTTCTCAGTTCTTTTCTTTTTTTTTCAAATGTGGTACAATGCTTTTTCAATACCCTTGGGAAAATACATACACCATGAAACACAAAATACAGCGCGGAAAGACAAAAACTTAGCCGCCAGCAATGTTTGAAACTGCGCCTATGCAGGCTGCACCTATTGAAATCACAGTCCACCCGGCTAGGGTTAGCAACGACGCCGGTGAGTCTAGCCTCAAGTCCAGTGACTAAGCTCGAAAACGGTTTGTTACCTCTAGAGTCGAGCGTTTTTTGGAAAGGTGTATACACCGGGTGTGGACTATAGTTAGAAAAACATAGTATAATAAATTGTGCGATTTCCACTGCTCTACTGTTTGACGCGATAGCTGCACTTCCTGATAAGATTCAGGATCCCGCTTATGCTAGCGATACCACTGCCAAACTGAAACACTGCCTGCAATTAGTAATATCATAGGAATTTGGGAAAGCAGGGACAGGTGATTGGAAAACGTTCGGCTCCAACTTTTTATTGAAAGATAAATGTAGGCAACTCGCAGGTTTGCATTTCCTGCACCTTCAGTTCATGGCATTTGCTCGGAGTCTCAAACCATTCCCTCAGTCCCCAAAAGGTTTACGCGCCCATCACTGTGAAGCTGGCCGTCAAAAAGCAAAGCAGCGCAGAACGATAGAATCATCTAAACCAGGGGTCTCCAATCCCCGTCCCGCGGAGGCATTTTGACCGGCCCGCGGATGGGCGCTGTCTTTCCAGTGACGCCCGGCCCGCAGCCAGCTGCTACCAATGCAAAGAATAAGTGCTCGTAAAAATATTGGCGCCGCAACGCGCACCAAACGAAGATATCAGAAAACATGAGAGAAAACCCATAGTGTTGCATATTCAAATACTACTTCTGAATAATACGCTATTTGATATTCCCTTTGAGATTAACTCTGACATTCACATTTTTCGAAGTGTTGATTGCAGCAGGTCAGCCCCGTTGAGCGCACTTGCGCTTCCTGTCGAGCACCTGTGCGCTGCAGAGATGCGACATCCGTAGAGCTCGCTTCCACAGTCGTTGCTTCCCCGAGTGCATTGGCGCTCGGTAAGAAGCGTGCTCAATGGGGCTAACCCACCGCGATCAACACTTCGGAAAACTAGAAATATTGCAGTCACACTCCTGAAAGGAAAGCCCACTTTCAAAGCGGGATGGTGCACAGGTGGGCGTGGCGTGCGCAAAAAGAAACTGAGACATACTGGATGTTGATTTCTACACTACAGTAAAATTTTCAAAATTAAACACTGGATATTGCGCAAGATTATCTGTTAGGCAGAGATGTCCTGACGACCAACAATCATCATTCATGATTGTTTTAATTTTTATTTATTTCTTAAATTCTAGATATAATAAAGAATACTTTCATATAACAAGAAAATTTATAAATCCCCTCGAATAGGTACCGCTGGGCATCTCTATCGCCCCAAGGCAGTAAATAGGAGGTGCCTCGGTCGACTGCTAGTCCTCGAGGCTGGTGGCCAAAAGGGGCGACTTTGGGAAGGCACATTTTGGTTAGATTTGATTGGACATGAGCACTGCGTCGCAGTTCGGAAAGGAGCTCGGACGTTCAAGCTCGAAATTGGGTCTAATTATTGTGGCTGCGGGCCGTCTCCGAGTTGAAAGAATTCGCCACCTGTCAAACCAAACTTCGTTGGTTGTCAAAAATAGGTTTCATTTTATTGTGTAGTGCCTTCCATTTACATGTAGGCAATGGACTTTCCGAGGTCCCATTTCACAATAAGCACCCACCCCTGAATTTTGTAACATTTTTAATACACAAAGGACACATCTTTACATATTGCTGGCCTAAGGAGCACCCTTCCCCCAGTTTTTTGTGATTATCTCCAAATTTTGAGAGGGCTCTTACTCAGGATTTTACGGCAGATTAAAATTAACTTAGCTTAGATATGGACAAGTGGAAGCTTGGGAACAACCTTTTGCGAGGTCAGATGCAGTTTCGTTTAGGCATAGTGCAGTAGTGGAAAGTATGGGGAAACTATCCAATATTCGATTTGAGATTGTTTGGCCAAAACCACTATTCGTTTCGAATTTGCTTTGACCTCGAAATCCACTTTTCACACGTGCCTAGAAAACTGCATTAAAACGCAAGATCTCCCAGCATATTTTTTATTGTGCATTGACACCACCAGAATTACTAATCATAGTTTCCTGCTTCACGTTTGCGTAACTATGAAAAAATTCCTTTGTGTTCTCGTATATATCATGCATAGCGACCATAGCGACTCCATGTGAATACGCCAAAGCTCCTAAGCAATTTGATTTATGTGCGGTGATTTCTCGGGGTCACAATTATTTTGCAGTGTCATAAATAGTAACAAATTACACACTTAAAAATGAAGTACATGTATTATCATTTATTCTGAATTTTCATTCTAGTTTATATTTCTGCATCTATATTGTTATTTAATTAGTATTTCCTCGTTTATATTGCCTTAACTAATTTCCGGCACTCAAGACTGCAACAGGTTCCCATCCCGGCACTTCTAGTCAAAACGTTAAGGACTTAACCCTCTCAAATGCCATGTACCTAAATGTGTACAGCTAAACACCCTCACTTTTTTGTTGTTGAATATATTGCATATTAAGTCATTTTAAGGGGGTGAAACTATCCAGAAAAGAAAAAATTCTGTTAAAGTAAATTTCGAAAAATGCTAAATTTACATCCATCAACCTCTAGAGAGTATTCCCAGAAAGTTTCATTTGTTTACATAGCATAGTAATTTTTTTATAAATTATTTTTGGTCCACTGAAACTAAAGAAAAAGTTCGGGCACCTTGGATGCTTTTCTATACTTTTTACTTTTTGGCTTAAGTTTCTCTTTAGGAAAACTGTCGTTTGGTAACGAGACAAGAAAAAAAAACTCGCCCATTGTTTTTCCTAACTGGAAATTAATGGGCAATGCAGCTGTGGCATTGTTTTTTTACTTCGTGGATGTTTTTTTGTAAAAGTTGTTAATATTTAGTCGATGACATAAAAGGCAAAAAAATATGTTTGATTTTTCAGTGCAATGATTTACATAAAATAAATAATTTTTTTTAAGTTTTGTTTTTAGTGTCAAAATTTAGGCATTTTGCTGCGTATCTGATTTCTGCACAAACGAGGTTTGTGAAGACATCTTTTTCATGATAGATGGCAAGCGGCACCTGAAAGGGTTAAATAC